GCTAAGCCAAGGGTACAGCTATAGTTTATAAAGAATTTTTTTTAAAGTGATTTGTAATATTATTGTTAATTCAGTGTACCCTTGGGATCCGGTGCATTCCGCACCGGATCGGTGAAATATACGGGATGAAAAGTTTTTTGTTGTATAGGTGTTAAGTCTAGGCAACATATAGGCTATAATTTATTTTGGAATGGAACACCTGATGCAGAACCGCAACAGACCAACTAAAGTATAAGAGATATAAAAATGGTGCCATAGCAAAAAATATTTCACGTGAAGAGTATTTTCTGCTGTGAGAATAAATTTGAAGATCTGGAATACTTGTTGTGGAACTTCAAAGCCCAGCGACATTATAATATATATAACAATGACGTCTTAGCAAAAGTTGTTTAGTCTGATGGGCATTTCCTGTTGACTTACAAAAGTGAAAGTCTGGAACGTCTCGAATCGTTTCGCGCATCACGTTGTTTTCCCGTCCCCGGGCTCTTGGAATTCGACATCAGACGTTTCAGACTTTGCGCCCTCCTTTCTGCCAAGGAGGGTCGCGTTCGTATACGGCTTAGAGATCTCTAGTCAGATCGTTAAGCCAGTTCCTAAAAGGTTGGGTTTAGTGGGTAAAAGTTACCACATAACCACGCAGCCGGCTACGTGGTATGCTATGAGCATTCCCAACCTCCCTCCCCCGCTTTCCGGAGGGTTGCCCATATTTGCTTCGGGCGCAAAAAAAAACGTTTCAGATCTTCGATTTTGACGACCCCGTTGTCGGTGGCATAAGCAACATCATCCGCGTACGAAGTCGCGGGCAGCAGCTAGTAAACATAATATTTTAAATAAATCATAATATTTTATTGCAAAACGTTACGCAATTCACATCGAAGGAAAAACAAAACGCTTAGGAGGGACGCATTAACCAAAGTTATCATGAGCTATCTATCTTTTACCTCGGGGAAGCTATCGAACATTACGTTATTAAGACGACAGTAATAGATAGTTTAAACTTAACTATTTACCTTCGATAGCTATCTATTATTTATCCCTTCCTGCTTGGAAAAGTCTCACAATATATTTATACAAAATACCCGATGCAAGGGCTTCGCTCTCCTACATTTATTTTAAAAAATGTAGGGGAGGCACACGGCCCAACACACGCCGTGCGCGGTGAGCGCCAACGATTTTGATGCACCCCCCCCCCCGAAGGGAAACTGGACCGTATTTATTTATTTATTTAAAAACTTAAACGTAACACCTTAAGCTAAAGGGGTACATAGGGCGGACTTAATGCCATGTGGCATTCTCTGCCAGTCAACCCTGGGTGCCAAGGACAATTGTTGGCAGGTGCGACCATTAAACGTAAATAATTACATTAAAATATATACATACATTAAAATATACATATATGCAAAGTACATACATACACATTACATTTAAGTATATATACACATATAGTATAAATATACATACAATAATACATACATATATATATATATATATATATGTATATATGTATACATATATATGTATGTATGTATATATATATATAATATATACATGCTTATAAACTTCGTAAATAAATATACAAATTAATGATATATATAATATGATGTCTGAATAATATATAATGAAATAAATATCTGAAGTAAAAAAAAAGAAATAAAGACAAAAATTAAGGAAAATAATGTTAATTAGTAGTTTCCTTCAGGTAATGTTCTCGGAGAAGAACTTTGAAGACTTTTTTATTTGCGGCATTCTTAATATCGTTGGGGAGGGTGTTCCAATGTTGTATAGCTTGTATCGTAAAAGACGACCTAAAAAAATTTGACTTATGCTGTGGTAACCTTAACCTCAGACGGTTTGACTGTCGGGATGTTCGACCGTCGATCAGATGAAAAAAATGAAAATTATCCTTAAGATAAGAGGGCGACCTTGGATCGTTTAAAATTGAATAAAGTACAAGTAAAATTCTAGAGCATCGCCTTTGACGTATAGGTAGCCATTTAAGCTTTGAACGATAGGATGATATGTGGTCATGCTTACGTAAACCAAAAATAAATCTTATGGAATTATTAAGAAGGCGCTCCAAGAAGATTTTCTGATAGATCTGGGTAACATACATCGGCATAGTCGATAATAGGTAGAATAGGGGAATGAACCAGCGTAAGTTTGGTTTTGAAAGGTAGGAAATTTTTAAGACGATAAAGGGAACGCAAGGTAGCAACAACTTTACGACTAACTTCAGAGATCTGCAATTTCCAGGTCATAGTTTTATCCATGTACAGGCCAAGATTTTTTATGGAATCACAATATGGAATCAAAATTCCATTATAAATTACAGGAGAGAGATTTCCATAATCAACCTTAGCCAATAATTGCGAACTTCCGAATATGATAACTTTGCGTTTGGCAGGATTAACAGAAACGCCATATTTACATGACCATTATCTTATGGCTTCCAGGTTATCATTTAGTTTGTGTATTACAAAGTTAAGATTATTTAAGCTTGACTGTACATAAAGCTGGAGATCATCCGCATACAGATGGTACGAACAATCTAAAACTGAGGAGATAGAATTTATAAATAAGGAAAACTGGACCGTATTCGGGAACTGGACCGTAGTCGACAGCAAAATAACTGGCGAACCAGTAAAAGAGTAGTGGTACCCTTGGTAGTGCGTAAGCACAAACACTGACCGAAGTCGCGCATGTCAATGCGTGTAAACTCCATACAGAATACGAATAAATCCAGCCACAGTGAATGTATATCACACGGTTTACGCAAGTAGGCACACTGGCCGTTAACCCTCCGTGAGCGCCACCACCTGCCAGACCGCCGCTCCTGCAGACGTGATGTAAGTGTATGGCATCACCACCAATTGCATGATCAGCACGCCTACTAGCCGCAGAGCGTGTCATGAGTCTACCGCTCACCTCAAGGGAATGGGGTCCCACGTTGTGCGGCTTTTGGCCGCAGCCTTGAGTCTCGTCAACTCCTCCCGCCAGCTACCACCCGCATGAGGTCGACACATATGCTCCACAAACGAACACAGTGACCACATTCCAATGACCCCATTCCGGATGTTGATGATAGAAAAACAACGAAAAAACGTAATTATATTGATTACTTTTTATGGTTTGTTTATTATTTCATGTCTTAATATGACGTATGTTGTTGTAGAAGATAGACTTGAAGGGTGTCTTGAAATTCAGACTGCAGCCATGGATACGCTTCAATCCATGAATAATTTGGCTGCATTCTTAAACAATTTTGCTGCTGCCCTCAAATCCATGGCCAATACAAGTGATAAAGCTTAATCTTAGGTAGATCAATATAGTTCAATAATTTTGATTAGTATAAATTATTTAATTTTAATTAAAAGAATAAGAGATAATAAATAGTTGTTTATAAATTGTTATTAATAAAACAGTCTTTCTATTAATTGTTGTCGCACTTGAAGGCCCCGCTCATATATTTGTATCTCTCTATAATGATCTGTTGTACTCGCGTCTGGCGCAAAAGTCTCTTCATCAACTATGTCGGGAAAACTAAGTCCTGCTGTTATACGCACATTGTGTTAAACTGCACATGCATTTAAAATGCAGCCTACTTTTGTTGTTTCATACTCCATTTTTCTTAGTAAACATCGAAACCTTGACTTAAGAACACCGAAACACCTCTCAATACTGTCTCTTGACCTTATATGGGTGTTGGTGTATCGACTTTGAGGTGTGTTTTCTTCAGCATTAAGGATCGGTGTGAGGAGCCATGGCTCCACGGGATGTCCGGAATCATCTGTAATTCAAATAAGTAACTAAATCATTACAAATACTGTTTTAATTGAGATTACTTGTTTCAGATTTATCCAAGATATTATTTATTGCAATACCTAGAAACCAGCAAGTATTGCCTTCACCATTAAGGTTCATCATCACCTTTCGTAGTGCACTAGACCTCCATATAAAGGAATCATGTGTTGCACCAGGATATCGTGCACATACGTTTAGAATTTTTAAGGAACTTTCACAAACTTACGAAAAGCAAATTAAATTAGTACAGAGTTTAGGTCACTTGCGTGAATGATATACAGAAGTCATAATGATCTTATTATTAAAATTAAAAACCCATGTCCGAAAACGAAAAAAAATTTCTGTAAGGTATTTTTACTTAAATATAAATAACACATTTCGGAGGGATCAATAAAACAGATTGTAGTCATATGGTGTCAATGTAAATAAACTATGGTGTTTTGCGGAATACGTCTGGGATAAATTTACTCAAAAATTGGCCAATATTTTTCTTATCTTATTATATTAGTTAGCGTCTTGCGACTCCGCTTCGAACATTATTGAAGTTAGAGACCTTTTTCGCAGAACTTTACTGTAAGTAAAATTAATAAGCAAAATAATATGCAGAAAAATTAAGATAATATCAATTTGAAAAAATGATACATAAACTAAGTAGAACTCACACGTTGTGCATACTTAAGTGGGCTCTTACGAGTACATTTCGGCGTTACACTAATTTTGGTATTTAATGAAGGCTGTACACTCGTACGAGTGCTCTCGTCAAGTCTCCCCGAGAGCTCTCGTCCGAGACGCCTATCCGCGAGTGCTACAATGTGCACTCTCGTCTGTTCGGTTGCAAACACCGAGAAGATGGACACACTAGAAACTGCATCTGCTCTTACGCTATGCGCTGTTAATGATTTAATGTATGTACATACGTATCATGAAAAAATAATTAAAATAAACCGAAAAACATAAGCTAGTGATGATAAAAATAAGATTAAATTATGGTTAATTATATCTATTCGTACATCCTGTCCATGAAGCGTCTCAAAACTAGACACACTTCGATTTTCGCTGAATACTCCCAAGTATTGATCATATATCATTTAAAAATAATAATCTTCTTTTGATTTCCTATCAGCAGTACATCTTTGTAGCGATAATTTGATCAACATCAACAGCACTAGCTCTTTTTTGTAGGTAATCATAATGTTTCTTCACCACTGATCTTTCACATTTGAATCACTTCGTAGAGGTTCTTCTAAAATATCAGATTCTTGTAACAAGTCATCGACGACTGATTCATTATCACCAATTTTATCATGCTCGATATGTTTGTTTTTGTCGCATACTTGAATGCCTCTAGCCAAACTTCTGGTTTTTAATGCCTTCGTGTCATATTCGTAAATCCACTCTGAGGCACTTGGTATGATGGCTTTATCAGAAATAATGTCGATTGTATCGATTTGATAATTAAATTCAAAGTTCTTTTCTAATTGGATATGCTGGAAATCGATTGGATTCCACTTTAATGAGGTTGTGTCTCCCCACTTGTTTTCCAGAATGCACTCTAATATATGGGGATTCATATGATCACTGTATGTGAGATCGGGCCATTTGTTATGTCGTTTGTAAAACTGCATGAAAAACTTTTTTTAAACATGCAATTTATATTTGTAGCAGCCTCTTGTAATCCTGGTTTGAGCACGGTTCCCTTCTTGATCCATGTTGATGTGGTAGAATCCATATCGACCACGGGGTGCCCCATGCTCTTCCACAGACCGATCTGTTCAAGATAAAGCATAGCTTGAGTAGGATCAAGAACCCTGTGGGTCTCATATGTAAATAATGAAGACATCTTAATTTCTATGGGCAAGTCAGCTGTTATGGTATTGAAGAATTCTTCAGAATCCTCCAAGTCACGTAGTATGGAGCCGATGACTAACGAGGGCCACATTTTGAAGGCAGTGTGGGCTTGTTGTCCTGTTTGTATCATCAACTCTCTCATTCTGTCCAAGCATCCACGAACCTCGGCGTAAAGTGAGTATCCAGGATACTTGTCGTTGTGAAAAGATGAGTCCCATCAACTGTCGAACATGATGCACACATATCAGCAAAACATAGGATGAGAGAGTAAGGGATGACGAAGCATCGCTTGAGGTCACATTTGACCACACAAATGTCGGCATCGAATGTTATATGTATATGTCGCGTCAAAGGTGTTTTCTTCACGCTCCGACATGGTTTTATGCAAATGTGGGCACACGAACGAAAGATGATTTAAATCAAAAATAACTTTATTTAGACTAGTGGTTGTACACGAGAAACAAACGCGTGCGTCGGTAGCGAGCGTCCGCTCCGGCTGTCCGAACTCAACTGCCACAACACTCGGTCCCTTTTCTAGCCCTCGCTGCATCCCCTCTACCGACGATCGTGTCCAAGCGGTAGGGCGCGCTTGCGTTTCCGGTAACGATATTATTGATTCGCAAAGCTAATTGTTAGATGGCGCTGCTTGTAGCACTATGGCGCCATCAATCCACGACACGGCCATCCCTGACTAGCACCCGTCCTCGGGTGCAGTGCCTGTGGACAAAATATGCTCAGAGAATAACTTAGCTCGGCTATCCTGCCAACGAAAACGAGGTTGATTCCAGATGGTACTTTATTTCTCCTAAATCTAAGTACAGTAATCAACTGCCATGATTGACAAAGCCCTATTATTAGGGCTTCTTACACAGTGCTTCCTGCACTACATGATTTATTGTGAAAGGCCCGATCAACAAGTTCCAACACAGCAATTCTGACAATTTTGTTACTCTTTACCATAATTCATAAGCAATGAATACTCAACTCGTGAAACTTTCATTGAAATCTGTGCACCAGCACAGACCAGAATCGCACCAACGATTCTTTACATATCTGCCGTCACATATGCCAGAATCGCACCAACGATTCTCCACATATCTGCCGCCACATACGCCACAACACATGAGGGGCTCTGTGCACCAACACAGGCCAGAATCGCACCAACGATTCTTTACATATCTGCCGCCACATATGCCAGAATCGCACCAACGATTCCCTACATATCTGCCGCCAAATATGCTACAACACATGAGGGGCTCTGTGTACCAACACAGACAGAAATCGCACCAACGATTTCCTACAGACCCATCGCCACATGTTACTCATGAGGTGCGGTCTACAGTTTCGAGTATGAGTATACATGCCATTCTTAATTAGATTTGGTTTCACTATCGCTGTCATCAACTATGACGTCTAATTCTCGAGGAACTTGGTGATCGGGGACCTTCCTCACACGATCATGGGGGTATTTGTAGGTTCGCTTAGAGTCAAGCGCCTTTAGTAGGTATCTATGTATCTATCCCCATCTAACACATCGATAATCTTAAAAGGACCTTTAAACTTGGGATCTAATTTCGTTTGATTCCTCTCCTCATTTTCAATTAAAACGTAATCATTGATAGCTAATTTACAAACCAGAGCCTTATTTCGGTCAAATCGATTTTTATCATAATTGGCATTTTTTTTGATATTCTGTGTCGCGTGCTCTCTGATCTCATCCAAGTTAAATTCTGTCACATCATCATCATCGGCGGTTACTAAACTAAGCGGTCGTGCTACCCTTCCTATCATCAACTCTAGAGGGCTATATTTAGTCACCCTATTAATAGTAGAGTTCATGGCCAGCTGAACCTCTCCTAATGCGTCCTGCCAAGAACGGTCACGACTAGTCTCTACCGCTGTTAAGATACTCTTAAGCGTACTCATTACCCTCTCGACCTGACCATTTGCACGGCTGCCTCCAGCAGCTATCAAGTGCAACTCGATGCTATTAGAAGTACAGAAGCTAGAAAAATCTTTGCTTGCGAAACAACGACCCTGATCTGCTATTATGCGTTTCGGTGCACCAAACAGAGCTATACAGAAATTAATAGCACGAATACTACTATTAGTGTCGATGTTTAGCGAATGACGAAGTAGCACAAATTTGGTAAACGCATCTAATATGACAAACACGTACTCCTTGATGTCATTCTTCCCAGATAATTTACCAGAAGCGTCAATATGGATTGTGTGCCATGGGATATTGAACTTGGGAATCGGGTGCAGTTCTGCTTGAACTTTACCCGAGTGGGGCTTCGCTACTTTACATGTGATACAGTTGTCCACAAATTTCCTCACATATTTCGACATGCCTTCGAACCAGTAGTGTTCGTAAATCTTTTCGAGAGTTTTCCCCCATCCTAAGTGCATGACAGACTCATGGACGTTATTAATAACAGACCACCTAAGCGATCTAGGTACAATAGGCAGCCATCGAGTGCGACCGTTACGCTGAATTTGGCGATATAGAATGTTTTTACGAACTTCGTAGGTTTTGCGAGTTTCCTCAGGAAAAACTTCGTTACGAAGATCAGAAACGATCTTACTAATCTCTTCGTCCTTTTCCTGTTCAGCTTGCAACCAGTTACTAGAAAGCTCAGCTAAATCGATACGCTTTTGTTCCACACGAGTGAAAGCCACTTTGGGCTTAGGGAGGGGATTTCTAGACAGGAAGTCTACATGGCTCATCCTACTGCCTTCACGATGGACGATATCAAACTCAAATGACTGCATGTAGGCCCACCAACGATGAACTCGTGGAGACAAGTCAGTTTTGCTTTTAGAAGCTTTAACAGAACTGCAGTCTGTCACAACGGTAAACTTACGACCTAGCAAATAATGTCGAAAATGCTTTATGGCATTGAACACAGCTAGCGTTTCTAACTCAAATGAATGAAACTTTGATTCGGCTGGGGAGGTACGACGACTATAATAAGCAACCACATGTTGTATCCCATTAATCTTTTGAATAAAAATAGCACCATATCCTTCAGCACTAGCATCGGTGTGTAACTCTATTGGATGTGCAGGATCAAATATCGTTAGAATAGGCTTACTGGTTAAATAAGAAATAATTTTCTGACGAACAGCCTCATGGCTAGGTTCCCACTCAATGGACCTGTCCTTGCCACTCGTTAGACGAAATAGAGGAGCCATCGTTTTTGAGAATTGTGGCACAAATTGTCTGAAATAAGTGGCCAGCCCTATGAACTGTCTTAGCTGAGTGATGGTTTTAGGCGGGGGAAGTCTGGACAAAGCTGCAATTTTATTTGGGTTGGGACTGATTTGGCCGTTCTCAACAACAAAGCCTAAATATTCTACCCGTCGCTTAAGAAGGGAACACTTAGCAAGATTTAGGGAGAAACCAGCTTTTGTTAATTTATCTAGCACAGTGCGAAGACGAAATAAATTCTCCTCCACAGACGATCCTATCACTAAAATGTCGTCGACGTATGTCACAGCATAGCTGTTAGCAAGATCGCCTAATGCCTTCATCACTGCACGTTGATAAACTGAGCTGGCATTTTTCAAACCGAACGGCATGGTCAAATATTCCCACTGACCATCAGGTGTGACGAATGCAGTGCGCTCTATCGATTCAGGATGCACTGGAATCTGGTGATAGCCTGACAACATATCGAGACACGTGAACCATGTAACACCACCTAACCTAGATATAAGGTCCTCTATCAACGGCAGTGGAAACCTATCCGATACAGTGTTGTCGTTCAGCTCCCTGTAGTCGACACACATGCGATCTGAACCATCTTTCTTCTTGACAAGCAACACTGGACTAGAAAAGGGTGAACAGCTTGGCCTAATAATGCCTGCTTCCTCTAGTTCACGAACTTTAGCAGTAACAACTTCACGTTCGTTTGCACTAAGCCTATAAGGGCGACGTTTAACCGTTCGACTAGGATCTATAAGCCTGATTTGCAACTGTCCTGTCGTTACACGGGATTTAGGTACACCATTAGAAAACGAAGATGAATATTCTGACAAAAGATCCATTAATTGGGAACGAAATTCGGGCGGAACGTCTGTGTCAACTTTATTTGAATCAATTTGATAATTAGTATCCGTCTTGGGCTTATTTGAAGCATCACATAATCTCACAACCATATTACGACACAAAACAACGCTATGAGACGTCATACTAACGTTGAACCCCTGATCTAAAATCTCGCGGCCGATTAAGATATCATTTTTAAGACAACTATCCGGTACAACATGAAATAATATCTCTAACCGTAAATCGTTAATTATAACTTCAGATAAAATTTGTAGGGTACTTTGTACGCTAACGTGACCGATTCCGGTTAAATTTACAATATTATTTACTCGCTTGCCACTAAACTTTGACGCAACACAATCTTTGATCAGAGAGCATTCGGCACCAGAATCGTAGTAAAATGGGTATGACTCACCAGCATTCATCAGCACACCGCTGGGATTGCTGACATAACAAACGTCAACACGTCGCTCACTGGTTGCCGCTGCGGCAGGCGCTACCCCAGAACTGCTTGATCCACCCGCCGCGCTGGTGCCCGCACTATTACTTCGTGGACATTTTGCTGCAAAATGTCCGGCGTTGCCGCATCGAAAGCAGATGATGTCCAAACGCTGTTTTGGTCCTGAAGAACTTGACGCCGAGATGGTGGTATTGGCTGTTTTGCTTTTCACCTCATTTCTTGATCGACAGTCAGATGCTCGATGACCTGGTTTACCACAGTTGTGACACTTCAGCGTTGTCGACTGAAACTTGGATCGCTTGAACTCTGCCGGGCCCTTGATGGCTTCTATCAAGGACATCATATTCTGGTTTTGAGCAGCCAGCAGCTCCCGAAGCATGCTCTCGTCGCACCGTGACGACATCGCTCCAGTCTCCGTGTTTTCTTCAACTCGGGTGTATCCCACTTCTGATGTCGCGTCAAAGGTGTTTTCTTCACGCTCCGACATGGTTTTATGCAAATGTGGGCACACGAACGAAAGATGATTTAAATCAAAAATAACTTTATTTAGACTAGTGGTTGTACACGAGAAACAAACGCGTGCGTCGGTAGCGAGCGTCCGCTCCGGCTGTCCGAACTCAACTGCCACAACACTCGGTCCCTTTTCTAGCCCTCGCTGCATCCCCTCTACTTTGATTGCGCAACTTCCTCTATGACACTTGACCGTACGGTTGATAATTGTGCATAGATATGGTCCAAAGGGAAAGCAGTCTCTATCAATGCAGGTGTGGGTGACTTATAATAGTGGATGTATCAGATGCGAGTGGCCATAGCAGCTACTTTGGCTGCATGTCTATTTAGCTCGGGGTCATCTCGTGATGTGTCCTTCCACTTCTCTAAATGATTGCAGCACCAGGCGAGAAACGATGTGGCAGGAAGAACCTCTAAGTTTTGCACCTCCTCAAAGACCCTTCGATAATGAGGTCTGAGAGCCGGTGGATTGTCTCTATGAGTGAACATATATTTGATCTCCGTGAGGGTTATAGCTGAAGCCAGGTGCCTCTCCCTCCTGTACATGGGAGATTTCTGGGTGGACATTCGTTCCAGATCTGGAGGTAAGTCTTCAAAATCCATGGTTTAACCTGTGAAAATAAGTTCAGATTTTTCTAAAGATATTCTTGCTCTATAGGAATACAACGGCAGGCACGCCTCATGGTGAACTATCACCGGATGAAGTACAGTATACCATCCTGTCTTGCTCTCAACTCCGAGACCTCCTTTCTGATTCTGTACAGTGGGGCTAAGAAAAAGCCAAATTGCCAGATTTGCTTGCTCTTTGATCTGAGTTGCTTGATTGTTTGTCACAGGGTCTTGGTCTCTAGTGACAGCCTGGCAGTCTCCTCTTCCAAGTACATTATTTTCCTGACGGCTGTGGAGGTGTCTCTCTTAACTAAACCTGATCTGCTCTCTGCTTGCCTAAGTACCTGTATTGTTAGTGTCTCTCCTGTCGTACAAACAAAAGTGGCGTCCCAGCCAGCAGGAGATTTAACAGTTTGCTTGGCCTTGTACAGAAACATAGAAGAGGGATCAATGCAAAACTTATTGGTACAAAGAGCATGATCCGCTATATGATATGACTGATCACGATCTTCTAACTGTTCTAGAGGAGATGAGTGGATGAATATTAAACCTGTGTCTGTCTGGCAGACGTAATTAGCACATTCCGCCTTGACTCCATCCACATAATACCCTCCTGGGCTGTTTTCCAGAGACCCTGTAGATACTTGGCAAACTCGTTTGGTTATACTGTAGGAAGTTGGCCAAGACCATTCACAAAGATGCAATAGATCTTGTTGATCTTTATATTTGATGTAATACTCAGGGCACACTGGGTCAGGATGATCAGGGAGATGACCGGATAAAGATCGCACTTTTTAGCAATCAAAATTCACAAAAAATAATTTCACCAACAATAACCTATACGACTTAAACAATCAGCTGTTCGTTGCTCGCACGCAAATCGGTCATATTTTTCTTTATTACCGGTTTATAGTAGGGTGCACATTTCTATAACTTATGAAGCCGTTATAAAACACTTATAATGCGTTTTGGCGTTATTAAACGTTTATGAATAATGTTTAACCGGTACCTCCTTATAACAAGCTAACAAACCTATTTTAACTTTTAATGAATAAGACCGTTAGAGTAAACATCAATATTAAAGTATTTTGTTGTGGCCGTGGATGGAAAAGGGGAGATAACCGCCGGGCAAGGTGTTCTGCCCGGGGAGCGGCCAACATTCCGTGTGATAGTTCGGAGATGTTATATATATACTGTTTATGATTCGGAATTTTGATAGTGTGATTAAGTCTTCGGTGTGTTTCGCTTGCAGCGCGAAGACAGCGCCGTCACATCACCCCCCTGCTCAGACCGGAAGTCGATGGTACAGTCTAATTGTCGACGAATGTGCATCCATTCCACATGGCACCTTGTCTCAGGGCTGTACAGGGCATCCGATGTGACAACAGCCCTAAATAAACCTGAGCCGTTAAAGGCTCCAATTCGGCCATAATGAGGTGAGTCTTCTCTTCTATGAGGACCCTCAGGAGGTTACGTAAACCCTCACTGCCCTTTACCCAGCTTCTCAATTCCAATATTGTCTTGATATTGTTGTACAGCTTTTCTGGTCCTGGTTCTGGTTTGAGGCCCTATGTATGGTGTTCTTGGTCCTCGCTCGTGGAAGCAGTCATTACGTGATTCTCCAGACCAGCTTATGAATATGGCCGGGGTTACCATCTTTTCAAACTAATGTAACTACAAACGGTAAATTAAAATATTGTTTAATAAATCAATTCAGGATACGTATTGTTACGAGCTTAGGGTTCGTGACAATAAAAATTGCCGATTGAATTACCAAAATTTACACTTTTATTATCGAATACCAATTAAAACTTAAAACACTAATAATTAATCACACTGATTCACTTTATTTCGCTCCGAAGCTTCGCTTTTCTCGCCAAATTCAATACTGCCCCGACCGCGGCTTGCAGCGGCTTTAAATACACATTTTCCACCGAAACATCCAGAATATTCCAGTAAATACGGGCACCGGAAAACTTAGTTCTTCAATTCGATACTAGACGGCGCTGTTGGTTGAAAGGTTAGTCATAGCATTTTCTGGAAAGCTCTCCTCGCTGTTACCCGACACTAGATGGCGCTAGTGCCAGGTAGCAGCCATCAACTTAGGCGCGCAATACTGCCCCCTCCTAAGACATGCTCGTCCCGAGCATTATCGGCCCCATAATAACGCGTCAGGCGATCCGCATGGACGATCATAGGAGTATCTCTTGCACCTTTTCGAAACTACTCCGCAAAGTCAAGTCAACATTGTACAATTTCGATGCTCCTCTACTACGAGTCTGAGGTCCCTTCACAGCCGCACAAATTGTACATGTGCGACACCAATCCTCGACATCGTCACGATTATGGACCCAGTAAAACTGTTCTCGGATCTTCAGTAGAGTTCGTTTAACTCCCAGATGGACTCCTGAACAACCATTATCCTTTCAGCTGCGGAGACTCTAACCGTAATACTCAGTTAACTGCGGAGCTGTTTAATAAAATTGACGGCACATTGGGCGTAATCCGTTTAAACGCAAATTTCTTGATTTTGGTATATCAAATACTATGATACGTATACATTTCTGATTTCTCTATGAAATTTCCTATAAACGAGTACATATATTTAATAAAGTTTTAAAGTAATTAGTATAACTAAATATTGAATAAAGTCAAAACTATCATATTTCTCAATGACACAAAGTTTTTTAATAGTTCATTTTTATTTTATTTTAATCTTACATCTATTGTTTACAATATTTTATGTGCAAAATCATTGGCCACAATACAATTTTTTATCATAAAACGCATTAATAATAAGCTTACAAGAACCCACAATCAACTTACACCGATGTAGAATGTAGTTCGGACCAGATACGGCATAATGCGGCGTAATGCTTTAGTCAATAAAAAAAATTATTTTTTATTTTATTATAATGATTCAGTCTTGAACCTCTCTTTTTCTTTACATGATTCAGTCATCTTTCAATAGGTCTTGCTAAGTTTTAGAAATCTCATAAAGTATTTTATAAGTACTCTTAATGCCGATATCAAAATTATAGTCGTAAGTGCCATATTGATTGAAAAATTTATTACTTTATTTCCGCAAACAAACTTTAACAGCACTTGTACAGAAATAAAGCTTCATTCATTCCTTTAAAAACCATAAATTTACTCAAGGGTCACTCCCGCTGATGTAGAGTTATAAATAACGTTTTTTGTAAACAATACCCAATGCACCATAATGTGTGGCGAGTGACAGAGGCGCCGCGAGGTGCGCAGCGGTTATGTTACATTTCCAATAACCAACATTATTTCTCCAAAAGGTAACATATTTCCTTTAACACAAATAATAGCTATGAAATAATAAAATTTAAAATAAATATATCTCTTCCTGAAATAAAAAAAAATATTATTTATGTATATTTTTAAAGAACCCACTTCTTATGCATTATACAAAAATATGCTACAATTAAAGTCCGATTCTGCACTTTTTTGTGCATCATGGACTAGTTCATTAAAACATTTTTATACGTGGTAGAGCCATGCTGCAGTTATATTAGTAGTGTAGTGGCCGGCTCGACCGGGGAAGGACCATGCTCTCACCGAACACCAGCGTGAAATTATAGCTTAATCCTTCTGTGTTTCGTATGGTGAGTGTAGAGAACCGGAGAGCCTTTTTACCGGAAACGAGACGTTCCATCTTAGTCCTCACGGGTGACACGCATCTGCATTTTGATTTGTAATCGAGGATGGATGTAGATGTCTATGGGCTGCAGCAAACACCACAGGTGGACTGCCTGCTCGTCTGTCACCCTATCCTATAGAAAAAAAACATACAAAATAAAGAGGTGTAGTCATTTCAACGATGAGAGCCAGATGGTGGCTCAGAAGAGCCGTGGTGGCTCTTGCTGTAAATTTCACAGTACGCTAGCAAGCCGGGTTCGATCCCCGCTAGCAATAATAAAATTGTTAATTGCAATTTTAAGTGCTGATCTACCACGTGCTCGGCGGTGAAGAAAGACGTTGTGAGGAAACCTGCACGTCTGTGAAATAAGAAAAAAATATTTCGAAGACATGTGAAGTTCGCCAACACGCATTGGGGCAGCGCGACGGAAACTTCTTTGCCCTAAAACCCTCTGAGAAATAAGCGGATGCCTTTGCCCAGCTGTGGGGCGTAAAAAAGGCTGTAACTTAACTAACTTTAGTATTCATTTCGACGATGAGAGAGCCCTGGTAGCTCAGATTGTTAGCTCTCGCGTTAAATTTCACAGTACGCTAGCACACCGGGTTCGATCCCCGCCGGTATCAATGAAATTATTAATAGCAATTTTAAGTGCTGATTTACCTCTTGCTCGGCGGTGAAGGACAACATCATGAGGAAGTCTGACTGTCTGAGAAATAAAAAAAAATATTTCCAAGGCATGTGCAGTTCGCCAACACGCATATGGGCAGCGCGGCGGACACTTCTTTGCCCTAAAACCCTTCCAGATATGAGGTAAGGCCCAGCAGTGGGACGTAAATAGGCTGTGTAACTTAACTAACTTAACAATTTCGATGATGATAGTCTGAAATAATTAGCTAAACAAATTATAGCTAGGCAACAATAAAAACTAAATGGATGGATGGACATAAGTATAAAATTGAATAAATATATAACATAGCTACTCATTTCTTTAAAAGGCTCCTGGTACTTGTTGGATTTACTGTATCTACAGCACAATTCATTTACGAATGGTACTGTAGGTAGCAGCAATCTTGCTCTAGGTTGAAACATAACGCAACGTTACACGATTTGCAAAGTACATACAGTTAAAATGTACATTAAAAAAAACAATATAAGAAATATGTGTCTGAAAATAAAAATATTAAAAAGCATATTATGTAAATACTTTCTAATTTTCTGATTTAATAAATTGTTTAAAAAATTCCGAAGTCTTGTGTTAACATACATGACATATCCAAATGCCACATTCAATTTTTCATAAATCATCGAATAATCGTGGAGTCAACCAAGCTCCATTTCTCTGCTCGAGGGCGCTAGATTCTTTACCATTCTAACCATTCAACCGAATTTGAACTTGATGCAGTATGGCAAACTTTAGTTCCTTTTTTCACCACCCGCAAAACAGAGAACTAGAATTCACTACTGCGGACGTCTCAAAAATGGGCACTATTGCACCTATTGCGTATTTACATTAAAATTTTGAAAATAATGCAGTTTATCCTCATTTTGATGTACTAAAACTGTGAACGATGAACAATTACACATATTTTAACAGAAAACTGACAGTCAACACTAAATTTTTACGTACATTTCAAGTCAACTTTCCTCAACCAGCATGTTAGTTCTAAGATAGCAGTTTGCTTCATACATATTAAAAAAAGATTTTACACGTACTTAATAAGATAAAACACAAAATGAGATTACAAATAAGAAGGTAACTTACTCAGGCATTGTTTTAACACAATTCACCACACAATAAATATAAATTAATACAAAATAATTACAAACAACTTCGTTGTTAGCGCGCGTCAATCACACTGATGGCTGACTCAAGGAACGGACGACTTTTAAGAATGGTTTAAATAAAATATACTACTAAATTGTATAAGCTGTGGAGTTTTTATGCTAGCCTTTTTTATTCTGTACACATTGACATATGGTAGAATGAGTTAGAAATAGCGCATAATGCTTTGTTTCTTCATTAAAAGAGCGGGTAAAAAATGTCTAACACTTGGACGCCCGCAGTCAACGCACATATTTTCATGTAACAAGTCTTGGACATCCGCAGTTGAGAGGATATGGTACAGCTGTAGACCATCCGGCACTTTAGCTTTAGGAACAACCATTTGCAAACGACAGCTGTCGCCTAGACCATTTTACCATTTACGGCCCAGGACTCCATCCTGAATCAGCAAGCTGTCCCATTGGGCCCAGTAGCTTTTAGTGGTCGAACTCATCGCTGAGACGTCGCTCCGCTTAGGCTTGGTAGCAGTGGATTAGTTAGATCTGGATACATATTTATTTCCATCATCATTTCAGTTGTTAATAAAGCTTTAAGCATCATATCATTTACATATATACATTCTGTATGTTCAGTTGGTCTCAGTCTTATTGTATCAACGATCGCACCTCCTTTCTTACCAGAAATTTTAGTTCTTTGCAATTCAGTGTCACTAATTCGAATATTCAAGATCTTTCGCATTGCATCTGTTACTGGGGTATAATACGTTAATGTTTCAGTGTGTCTACTTATAGCCACTAATATGTGAGAACTGGAAGAATAAATTTCTTCTTTGACTAGTACTTCCACTAGTACGTATAACAATAATATTTTTGGCTTGTTTTCCCTGGTACTCATGAATAGTAGAAACATCGTATCCTGCCTTTTTCAAAACTTCTTTTTCAGATTGTTTAAACACTAGGTATTTGTATTTTTTATTATCTAAAGGGATAGCACCTAAGGACGTGTATGGTTTACTAGTCATACTACGCATTACTGAAGATGTAGACAAAGCTCCACCTTCATATCGACTAGACAATAAAGCCATAACGTCTACAGGACATCTGTAAGAAACTTTTAATGTTCTGGACGGTTTAAAAAATCTCTTAAAATCTCCATATAAAACAGAAACTGATCCAACTCTATTAATATATATATTTGATTTGGATCACCTAATAAATGTAATGTCCAGAATATAAACAGACTAAAAAGATTTCGTCTGGATGTTTCATGAGTGCTTCATCGATCCACACTTCATTATATTTCTTCCTACTATTTAAAATATACGAATCTATTGTTCTATAATTTTCTTTGAAATCAGTAACAGGTTTTGAATGAATTTTACTCAGTCTCTCACGTATATCAATGGCACCTTCAGAAGACGATGTTAAAACTATATCTCCTTGTTTGTGTTCACGTAAAATAAAAGTCGTTTTACCACAACCGGGCACTCCAACAATCATATCTATTTTTGGAATATCAAATGTATCATATTTAGTTTGAAAATCAGAGGTAGCGTGAAATAAATTTGGTTCTTGTATTAGTATAGTGAAATTACCACACAGTAAGGATACGAGTATCTGATGAAGCATCAATGTACTCGTTTCATTACTCTTCGAAAGATACAAAATCGAAACCTTTATAACAAAATTCGTAATTAGCATCTCCAAAAGATTTCAACAACCATTTATTAGTTAATCTATCAAAAACAAAAAATTTTTCTTTATGTCAAATAACGTTTAGTTCCAATCCTAAAGGAACAGACAAGTTTTTGTATGCTTCCTTATAAGTAGCAGTCGCGGTATTTATAAACTCAGCAGCACAATTAACCGCCCACCTTGATTTTTTACGATTTTTACGATTAAAAAAAAATTGTGGCCTTACTTGTTAATGTTATTTTATAACGTAGGTATATTGAAGTAAAATGAAAGATAATATTGTTTTTAATTATTACGTTTATTTATAAAAAAGTCTGAAAAACACTTTGACCGTAAATTAACAAATGTGATGAAATGGCTTAAAAATAAAAAATCTGCTGAATAAATGAATTCTAATAGTGCGTATTTCCACCTCTAGCCCTCATGACTTCCATCAAACGGTTTGGCATGCTGTCGATGACATCTTCGATCTGTTGTTGTGGAATGTTCTGCTACTCCTCAATCACGGATTGTTTTAATTCATCTATGGTGGTTGGAGCTGGTATGCGGCTTCGAACACGTCTTTTTAAATTGTCCCACGTGTTCAATAGGATTTAAATCTGGGCTCCGGGATGGCCATATTAATTTTCGAATGCCGACGGTATCCAGGTACGCGGTAACAACTCTAGCAACGTGGGGGCGAGCGTTGTCCTGCATTAATAAAAAATCTTCGCCAATAAATGGAGCAAATGGCATTACATGAGGTTCCAATACTTCTGTTACATACCTCTGAGCATTTATTCCACCTCTTTCGAAAATAACCAAGTCGGTGCGTGCTTCGTAAGTAATGCCGCCCCATATCATGATAGAGCCACCTTGGTAACCTACTGTTTCCACAACAGTACATGGTGCAAACCTTTCATTCTTGCGTCTGTATACACGCTGGCGACCCGGTCGCCAGCCAGACCGTGCAAGCATATTCTTGTCTCGTCAGTAAACATAACATTCTTCCATTGTTCCATATTCCATTCGGCGTGCTCTCGGGAAAAACGAAGTCTTTCTCTCCGGTGGCCTACGAGCAATTGTGGCACTCGAGATGGTCGAAAAGCTCCAAGGGCATTCTCTCCTAGTCTTCTTCTCACTGTTCTTTCACTCACTTGAACATTGCGAACCTCACGAAGTTGGTTTCGTGCCTCAACAACTGTAGTGAACCGATTTCTTAGAACATTGGTCACAAGAAATCGGTCGTCACGAGCGGAGGTGCATCTTTTTCGGCCCTGTCCTGGTCTTCGCTCATAAGAGCCAGTTTCCCGGAACCGTTTCACTGCATCCCTTAAGGTGGTACGTGCGACACCAAGCTTCCGTGCACTTTACGCTGACTAAACTCTTCGTCGATAAGAGCGACGGCTCTCGCCACTGAATTAGCATCAAATGGCATGTTTGTGATGTCCAAACACTAGCTTTAAGTTACGAAACCAAAACAAACTGAAATTGTTTACTTTTAATGCAACTGAAGCAATGTAAGCAGTATGGCAACGATAACGATAATGAGACGAACTTCGATATTTGTCCTATTCACAACTTATGCGTAAAAAAACAAAGTTAAATGGGTACCTTGTAATTTTTTCGTCACTACATTTCTTTCACACTTGACTTATTTATGCCCAATAACTTACAACTGCGATAACATCAAAATTTGCCACTTTAAAAGGGTGGGCGGTTAATTGTGCCGCTAAGTGTAGTTGTAGACCATAATTCTATAATTTCGATCATCGCGTTAACAGCACTATCAGTGGGTGTAATTCTTTTAAAAATTTTGGTGAATGTTCTTTGATAGGGTATCTACTGTTATTTAAAGGTTTCCAAAATGCATTATGGTTTTCCGTATTTTTAGTTTCCATCTGCGGCTGCAGTCTCGACGTAGATAACGATCACTTTACAACCAATATTGGTTGTTAAGTCATAACAATCCGAATATGACGATTTTTGGTAGTCTGTACTGTCAAAGCGATCGGTACCGATCGTAAACTTTACAATTATTTGTTACGTTTGCTATTATTTTAACTACCATTTTTGACAGCCCGCTAAGTGTTTTACGTTACGATCATAAGTTGTTTCACGGTTTTATAAATAATCTTTATCTATTATAATATAAGGTTATAATAAAAGTATTAAGTAATTATGGCGGAATCGTATTTAGCATGGGATTTGTCAGAACTAGAACACAGGCGTGTTATGGTTATGCGGCGGCAAATCGCACGAAACCGGCGTGAAAGTGAAAATCCCTTAGATTTAGACGATAGTGAATTCTTGTACCTTTACAGAATTACAAAAAATATGTTTAGCGAGCTCGTAGGTGAACTTCGGTCATCTCTTCAAAAACAACGGCCTTACGGACTTTCTGTGGAGTCCCAAGTGAGTGTCATCATGTAATAATAAACCCCTAAACACTTACTATTTTTCGTTTGTATTAACTCTTAGTTTCATTTTCTTCTAAATAGATACTGACGGCACTTCGATTTTATGCAAGTGGGTGCTATCAGCTACCTGTTGGCCTGCAGTGGGGTTGCAGCATGAGCCAAAAATCGGTTAGCCGAGTTATACATGCTGTAACCGAGGCTATTAATAAAAAATTATTGAGAAAATTTATAAAATTCCCTATGACCCATGATGAGCGGCGAGCAGCTAAAGAAAAATTTAGGAATGCCCCACAACCATTTCCTGATGCGATAGGAGCTATAGACTGCACACACATAAAAATTCTAGCTCCAAAAATTCATGAAGAGGCATATGTGAGTGGTCACCATGAGGGCCATTCATTAAATGTACAAGTTGTAAGTTTATCTTCAGTCATTATTGTTTACCTATTTACTTGCTAATTAAGATTTTGGGAGCAGTGCTGAAGCATTTTAAAATAACTAAATATGGGTCGATGACATTTATTACTATTACATTATTACATTACAATAATGTATTAAAACTATTTCAGTGCAATACTGACATCCTTAACTAAGTGATTACATTACTATGATGAGAATTATAATAAATTATTTATCAATACTTGTACTAAAAGCAAGGGCTTTTATAAGATGGCCAAAATAAGTCTGTTGAGTGAAAGTATGAGGATGACACCTTGCTTTGACCAGCAATAACAATTATACAGTGGAGTCAGCGTCTTCTGTAACATGTTTTCAGTAATCCAATATCAAAATTCATAATTCATGGTCAACATGTTATTGTAAAATTATGGCTACTTGCAATTGAAGGGATAAGTGGACAAAGATGTTAACTAACAAATAGTTCCAAAAGTAAATTAGTAATTAAATCTTAGTTTTACAATACAGTATTAGTACCAATACTTAGATAAGATTAATTATTATATATATATTATATTAAAAATAGGTTATTCTATGCAAATTTATTAATAAACAATGAAAATGTGAGCATATCACCTTTGTTTACTATAAACCATATTAAGTTTTGTTAAGAAGAACTTATAACGGTTCTATGTGGTAAAAAAATTAAATACTTACCATTATTTATATGAAATAGTTTTATTATTAAAAAAATTATGATTTTTACAAGGCTATTTATTAATTATTGAGATTTTTAGAATAATAATGTAAAACCACTGAGACTGAGACCTTTCCACCAGTCTTCTTTCCAGTGCCAAAATAAGACCTATGCCCAACTCTATTAATGATATGGATACCTTCATTATAAAACCATACTTTCCTCAAATAAAATGCTTTGATATGGGGATTTCAGGTAGAGGCTGAGTCTGTTGCATGTCAAAATATATGTTATATCTTGTTCACTAACACCCATCTCTTTTTCTTGTTTTTGTAACTCAAATGCTCTTTTATAGTCATCAATATGGTCTTCAGTGTGTGTATTTGAATCACATTTGTTACACACACTGTTCTAGGCTGTTTAAATGATATGTTGAAAATTTGTATTGAATATATTGCTATAAGCGCAATCCTTGATGAGATTGATTTGGTAGTTTTCTTTTTTCCCCTACATTTTTAAATATGCATTGAATACATCTTTTTACAAGAAAGTAATGGATTTTAATACTGTTTGTAGATATTTTGAGTACAAAAATAATGAGAACTTTCAGATGGAAAACTTCCAATATATTATTATAGATTACATATGTAATTTTCTACATAAATTTGTTTTAAGTAATAAGTATGAGTTTTACCCCATTATACTTTGAGCGCTGTCACGTCATTTAATTTAATTTTTGATTAAATGGCTGTTACTTTTCTATAAGCAATTTGAAACATATTGGAAAATACAGTCTTACAAACTTTTATGTTGGTACCATCATTAGGTAGAATACGGATATAAGTTGTGCTTCTTTTCCTTTTTTGGTTTGTTAGTGCTCTTCTGACATTTTCGGATCTGATGAATTTCGGGAGATACATTTTTTCTCAGTGTTACTTTTAAGCTATAGTATTGAGAAAAGAGGTCAAAACCACAAAACTTTTCATAGCACTTGTAATTGAATGTTGCTATGCATTATATGCTTGTCCTTAGGTTTTTCTTTACCATATTTTTACCGCCTATGTCCACTTAGCCCTTCAATTATCATGTTGATGAGTAATCTAATATCAAAAGCTTAGTCAAAACAATGTGGGATCAACAGGTATTAAGGCTATTTCCAGCCTGCATAAATTGCTTAAAAACATGAAGTATCTTCTCCTTATTATTGATAGTAAAAAGTGTTATTGGATACATTTCACTGAGCAGTTTAAGTGAAAAAGTTTGTAGCGGCGCTGTCGTCGCCGCCACAAGCGAAAAACACACCGAAGCCTAAATCGCGCTATCAACATTCCGAATCATAAACAGTATATATAGAACATCTCCGAATTATCACATGGAGTGTTGGCCGCTCCCCGGGTAGAACACCTTGCCCGGCGGGAGATCTCCCCTTTTTCCTACCACGGCCACAGTGGATTTCGCTTGTGGCGGCGACGACAGCGCCGCTACATCACCCCCTGCTCAGACCGGAGGTCGTTAGTGCAGCCTTGTTGCCGACGAATGTGCAAGTGCCAGGAGATTGCCTTGTAGTCTGCGGTGAGTCGAGATGAAGGCAAGTAATCTGCGAGATTGCCGTGAAGCAGAGGCGAGCAGTAAGGCTCAGAGCCGTGCCGAACACTGTATAGCGCAGAGAGTAGCTTGAAGGAACAGGAAGCATTATTATTCCAGTGCTGCGATGAACCTTGTGAAGCTAGATGGCTTGCAGGATATGAAGACTGCAGACGATATCTGCTCGGGAGCGAATGGGTGGGGTATTCTGTGACGATGATGAAGCTTGAAGTTTCCGAAGGTTGTTTGGTTGCGTGTTCATATCACGTCGGGGTCACCACTGTGGCCGTGGTAGGAAAAGGGGAGATCTCCCGCCGGGCAAGGTGTTCTACCCGGGGAGCGGCCAACACTCCATGTGATAATTCGGAGATGTTCTATATATACTGTTTATGATTCGGAATGTTGATAGCGCGATTTAGGCTTCGGTGTGTTTTTCGCTTGTGGCGGCGACGACAGCGCCGCTACAAGTTTAAATTATACTCATTAGTCTTAAGGGCTTAGATTATATTTTTATTGCACCTAGTTACACTCCAGAACATCATCAATAATAAATAAATCTATTTATTATTTATTAGCACAAAAAAGTACACTCCTAACTAAGTTTATTTTAAATTATTTTAGGTGTGTGACCCAGACCTGTTAATTTTGAACATCAATGCTAAATGGCCAGGAGCTAGACACGACGCTCACATATGGGCAAATTCAGCTGTACGCTCCACCATGAAGCGACATTTTGACAATGGGGATCGCCGTACATGGTTACTTGGTAAGTCAAAGACCAAGGTTACTAGAACCGAATGTTTGTAAGACTGCCAAATGTATATTCGAAGTTTAAAACTTTTAGGTGATGATGGATATCCTCTGGAGCCATGGTTGATGACCCCAATAAAAAATCAACACCTTGGGACACCGGAGCGTAGATACACTGATGCTCATGGTTCAGCCAGAAACACCATAGAAAGATGCTTTGGTGTGCTAAAGTCTGTTTTTAGGTGTCTGTCTCATCAACGCCAGTGAATGTATGAGCCATATACTGCTGGCCTTATAGTAAATGCATGTGCAGTGCTACACAACATGCGTGTTAAATATAGATTGATGGAACCATATGTCACCACATACACAGAAATCATTGCTGATAGCTATAACGATGATTACTTGGAAGATACAGGTAATAATGTTGTTTAGGTAATATTAAATTAGACTATGTTGCTTTTGTAATGTTAGAATAATTTTAAAATTTTATGTTGTAATTACAGAACGAGTAACTGGCACTGGGCGAGCTGTTGCAGAGCGTATACAAAGAAGACTCATAAATACTGCTTACACTTAATTATCTATAGTTTTCTGTTATATTAGTAATAATGTAATTTTAGTAATTATGTGTATAGTAAATGTTTCATATTATTTGTATAAAGTAATATATTGTAAATTGAATTTATTAAAAAAAAGTCCCGCTGGGTTTCTTGCTGGTTCTTCCCAGGACAGAGGTATTCTTCGAACCAGTGGTAAACGTAAAAAATTACAAAAAAATCTATATTGCATAAAAATGATTCTATTCTATTAAGTGAATTGAAATAAAACATTAAACATATTAATTTATTTATTATTTTTAATAACAAGCAAATCTCCAATTTTGTCAACAGCCTGAGCTAATAAATGAAATGCCTCGGCCTGAACTTTTGCTGCCTCCGCCTGCATTCTGGCAGCCTCGGCCTGAATGTTGGCAGCCTCTGCCAGCATCTGTAATGAAAACTATAGATAGATCGAGAAATGCTTGCTAATTCTCTCTAGCATGCTAGTGAATCTTTAGGATAATGTATGCTGTAGCTTATAATATCTATTGACAGATCAACAATAGTTTACATTTTTTTTAACAAAATAAGCCACACGAGCATCTGATGTTTTGACTTGACGCATGTCTATGTCTACATCTCCCCCCACCCCCCACTAAGAATCTAAATGCAGATGCATTGTCACCCCCGAGGACTAAAATGGAATGCCTCATTACCAGTCAAGGGTTTAGGTTAGGGTCTCCGGTTCACTCCACTTATTGTGGTTATAGGCGTGGTGCTTCCCCAGTCGAGCCGGCCCCTTGCTACGACTATACTACTAACATAACTGCAGCATGGCTCTACCACGTAAAAATATATTGATTTTTTCTTCTGTTTAGTTCAGAATGTAGATGTGATGTTATAACATACCCTCATTGAATCTGCATTAGATTTTGCAACTGCCAGGAAATCCTCCCGAGCTATATTCGCTTGCTCGGCAGTAGATCGGCGAGGATTCAGATCTAAAAATACCCAAAATTTATTGTATTGTAATTAAAATAATTTTTGGCTTTATTCTGCTCAAGCTGATCATCTTGTGAACTACTGTTTATATTATTAGCACTTAATTGAAATTTAAGCTTACTCCTTATCCTTCTGGGTCTCTCCTGTCGTACAGTGGGTGGTGTTGTGATGAGAGCTGCTGCACTGCTGCCTCTCTCTGCTGAAGTAATGAAATAATACACATAAAATGATCACAATTTTAATTTAATAGTATAAAGGTGAATATTTGCAAAGATTTTTGTTTGTTTATTAATCACACTAAAACAGCGGAAGACCTATATAAAATTTGGCACATAGACCATTTTATCTTGAAATAGTGGATAAAACAGCGGAGCACAAATATATAATGTATGTAAATAAGAATTATATAAATAACAAAGATCTAACTTACTTATTTGTGGTGCTGCTGACTGCAGAGTTACTTCTTGCACCTGTTGCTGATTGGGTGCTGGTGAAGCAACAGGTGTGGCTCTGCTGCCACTTGCTACTGAAATAATCAAATACATTAAACATATTAGTGAAATATTACCACGTAGAGAGGTATGAATGTAGGTGTAATAAAAATAACAAACTTACTAATTTGTGGTGCTGGCGATGCTTTGTTTCTCTCAGTCTCAAGCAACTGGCATTCATTACCTGTAATTAAAATTTGTGTTTTAATACATTGTAGGTAAATACATTTAAATTGCAACAGAATTTACATAATATTTTTAATATATCTTAAAAACTTACCTTGATACAAACAAACAACTTCTACCATTTGTACTCCAGCCTCCACCTCATGTTGTAATGTCTAAAAATGTAAATTAGTAAAACTATTTATTATTGTAAATTGCATTAAAACCAAAAACTATGTTTATGAAGTTTGATTAAGTATATGAAATTGTATATAAGTGATTATTAATAGTATATACTACACACTACTGAACTCACTTCTTCCTCTGGCATAGAGTCAGGGCAGTCGCTGCCAAATGTGTATTCAACACCTATCAGCGACACAATTTTTTTTTCCACCTCAGTCAGTGGAGCAGTGGTGATGCCTTGGTTGCCGGTCTGCATTCTTTCTCGTTTTAATTTTGCCGCTTTAGTGCAGGCCCGGCATTTGAAGTCTCTCCATACCTACAAAATAAATAATTATGCATTTTAAGTAAATATTAGGTACACTGGCGCTGCATAATGTGCTGGCCGATTTATGTATAAGCCATTAGTAGTAAATCAGAAAAATTCTTTAGTAGAAACTTAACTGTTATCCACTGCTCAGGCGTCTTGACGGATCCGTTGGGAAGCTGGTTGAGCTCGTCGGCAACTTCCCTCCAGCCCTTTTCAAAAAATTCCTTGCCGTGCAGGCCACTAAATTTTTTTGTGTACAAATGTGGACTAGCTTCCAGCTTGGACAATAATATCTCAAGCTGCCCACTCGTGACTCGAGATGTACGCTTACGTCTGAAACGTACATAGAAGTAAATATTCAAATTGTAAAAATTAGTCTCTAAACAAACCATTCAATAAACAACGATAGATTCGAAATAGGTGTGCACATATAATTACAGTTATACTTTTCGGGTTGTACTTACTTAACGCAGCTCGAAACCGGGCCTGCGCCTGCGTCACTGTCCCCCACCATTGAAAATATACTATATTTACTATATAAACTATATTTTATATACTAAAATATATGATGTTTTATAAAATGCGTAGCATAAAATAAATGATATGTAGGTAATGTCAGCGTTGTCAAACCGAGACAGACATGTAATAGTGTTGCAAGGAGGCAAACTTTTATGTCCTTTGATATTTAACAAGTTAGTTCAATTCTTAGAAACGGTAAAAGCTACTTGTAAGGTTACATACAAAATATTTTTATAAGAAAAGGTTTCTTCTATTTCTGTACAATTTTCAAAGAAAAGCAATTATTTTTATAAAATTATGTCTGCAAATTTTCCCTATTATTTTTTAACAGCCAACATTTTTTTAAGATAACCCGCACTATGAATACGTTTTTCGTTAGCGTAACAACAACATAATTAACGATCTTGCACGGAATTTCGGCTGTAGAGACTTGCATTTATTGTAAGCATCGTTACGGCAAGCAATTATTGTTGTTATTATTTAGCGATCGGTAGTTTGCGATGGAGTCGCTATCTATGTCGAGACTGCAGCCGCTGACCAATCGTTGCATGATAATTAATAGAATTATGAATATTTATTTGAATCAAACCGCGAAATCCATTTTTTGAAATTAAATTTTCTATGTTTTCAACTCTTGATTTTACAGTATCAACGTCTCTCGAGAAAGTTAAATCAATATATAAAATCTTTTCTTTATTCGAAACTTGATCTACAAGATATTTCATGATTTCAATATTATTGGTATAATTGAGTAAATTTAAAAACAAATTGTTATTATGTAACTCTACACCATGTATAGGTTTATAACAAACCCAAAAATTTACACCGTTTTAATGTCGCACATTTTACAACTAATTTTCTATCATCATTCAATAATTTTGTCCTATATGGGATTTCACTGATAAAATTATTTAGATCTTTAAGATTATAACTCAAAGAATTTTGATCAACATCTTCACTCGACAATTATAAATCTTTAGAATCTAATTCTCTAGTATCGATTTCTGTTTTAGTTACTACAGTTTCTTCTTTAGATTGTTTATCTCTAAATCTTTTTTTTACGGAATGATCTTTTACAGGTACCAATAATAGATTTTTCATACAAAGGTTTTTCTCCTTGAGATGTTAATTTAGTTACATCGACAGGTTTCAATGAGTTTGGTTTAAGTAGCATTTTAAGAACATTATATATATTATATATTATATGTTATATTATCGGTTTTAAATTTACGAACTTTTCCGAAAATCCTCAATATACCTCTCTAAATTGATACTTCGGGAAGAGTGTCGAGTATAACAGGTAATATATCAAAATGATTACTCGTTTCAATATTGTATTGAACTTCTACAGTACTCGCAGATTCACAGACGATTTCATTAACACATGAAAAATGATCATCCACGAAATTTAATTCACATTTCTTTTCACGTTATAAAACCTTTTCACCCAAATCTAACGGAAAATTATCTTTTTCAGATTTCGTTCGAAAGAGGAAACTGACATTATATATGTTGTCATCATCAATAATTTTACTATTGTAATTATAATAATCCACATACAAATCAATGTCGCGAGGTGAATAATATGATTTGAAATTGTTACTCTCGATAATAATTTCGTGACCATTAACGGTTTTAAAACTTTTATCAATACCATCAAAATCATCGTTGGTATCAAATAAAATCCTTGGTGATTTATCTTTTCTAGGTGTTGAAGTATTTAAGATCGAAATATCCCTATCACAATTAAATGTCGAATCGTTGATGATTGAAATTTCAGAAATATCGTCAAGAGTGATATTAGCAGAAATTTTTCTTTTTCTTGGAAAAGCCGGTTCAAAATGTTTATTACGTAGTACTAAATAAATTGTTTTACTACCATCTTTAGAATTATAAACTTGGGGTATGAAATTCATCTCATCAGAATATAAAACGATTTTTACATTAAAAACTTTCGAAGCTAACAAAATCTCTGGTTCACCACCCCATTGATAAGGAGTACTTAAAACATTTATAATACCTGGAATTTCAGTAATAGGAATATCAACTATACGATCACTTTTTAACATTTTTTGTTTTATTTGATCTACAGATTCAGGTAAATTCAAACATTGTTTTATACTATCAAATAAACAGTGACCATCACCTATCGCAGTACCGATATGTAATTCTGATAAAGGAACAATCTCATTACCATTATTATTATCATAATATGACACTGATCTGTAGGTTTTGGAATATTATCGCAAATTTCAAGAAAAGACTTTTCAGACATTGAAGTATCTGTAGTAATATTAAGAGCTTCGTTTGAAAGAGGTGAATCTCGTAAAGGATCGTCATCATTTAATATTGGAAAACATGGGAGATAAATTATTTTTTTAGTGTCTAAATCGGTGTAGTCGGACTCGTCGAAATTGAACTGCATCACATATATGTACTGAATATTTTTTTGGTTCTGCCGACCAACGAATCAAGAAAGATAAAAACCTCTCAAACCAATATTTTCCGTCGTTCAATGGTGAGACACCTTCGAGTGGAATATTACCAGGATTTTCAAAATTTTCTTTATATAAAATATTATCAGAATCTAATGGTTGAGGTGTAGTGGGTGTTAAAAATTTCAACCAAAGATTTTTAAATACTTGAATCACACTCATACTCTTCTGTTCACGTAATCTCACGATCTCAGCTATAACTTCGGATATTGCACGTGTGATACCAAACCTATCGACGAAACATTTAATAAATATGGCACTAGCTAATTGTAACATTCGTTTTGGTTCCATATTATAAGCTGCTTGACAAACTGCTTTAGTTCCAAAAACATGTGTCGAAAAAGATCTAAGGGCGTGATAAATATTACTAACAGAAAATTTATTATGATCAAGTCCATATGCATAACAAGTAGTATCCATATGTATATATTTGCCCCCTCTTCCATAAAAAAAGTTACTTTTGTCAATCTGTATTTCTATTTGTAACAGTATATACAGGATGGTCCAAAAGGTGACGTCCAAAAAAATTTTTTTTTGGAATGCTGACATTTCGGGCTACATGAAAATACCCCATGTATGTTCCGCGATTTTTCTTAGTTTACGAGATATGATTTTTTTGTATTATTTTGAAAAATGTCGACTTAGTGATTCAAAAATTTTTTTCTTGAAAATTCTGCTCTCTTTTCTACTTTTTTTATTCTTAGCGTAGTTTTCATGAGTTTGACTCTTTGACATAAAAAATAAGCTGCCTAACCATTAATACAAATTGCAAAAGTTTTAATCGAAAACAAATTATGCAGATATGATTGAATCAAAGTTTAATTTTGAAATTTAAACTAAAAATTAAATAATGAGTTCCATGACTTTAAAGTAATTTTAAAAACTTCGCAAGACCCTAAGCTTTAGTTATAATACAAAAAAAGTAGTGGTCAATGGGCCTTTTTTAGCCCTAGTCGGCCTTTAATTGCACAGAGCCAAAAAGTTCAAAAATAATCGTTTTATTATGCACCTATTGTTTATTACTAAGGATGATTAGATTTTCATGGTATGTCATAATCTTTCATAATAAATAAAACAATTTGGTTTTTTTAATACTAATTTTATTTTACAACCAATTCTCAAAGTACCCCCCTCCATTTCAATACACAGTCTACAACGCCTTAGAAAATTTTGTTTCAGTCTTCTAAAAGCATTTGAATTTTGTCTGATTTTTGTTTCCGCCTCCGTTAATTTATCTCGCAGTTCTGCTTCGGTGTTTGTTTCGCTTGCGTACACCATCTCTTTGTAATATCCTCAGAGAAAGAAATCTATAGGGTTCAAATCTGGTGAACGTGCAGATCAATGAATCGGTCCGCCACGCCCAATCCATCTATTGGGGAATCTTTGATTAAGGTGCTCCCGTACCTCTCTTGCATAGTGGCAAGGAGCACCATCATTTTGGTAAATCATATCCCTTCTTGTCAATAAGTTTACATCGCCTAATAAGCCGTTTAAATTGTTTTGTAAAAAGTCTAAATATTGGGCTCCGTTTAACCTAGCAGGCAATTCAAAAGGTCCTATAAGTTCCCCGTTAAAAATTCCTGACCACAAGTTTACACTATAATGTGTTTGAAAATTTGTAGGCCTTGCCTTGTGTGGGTTTTCAACAGCCCAACTATGGTAATTGTGGATATTGAAGACTCCTGTTCTTTCAAATATAGACTCGTCTGTCCACAGAATTTTATCAAAATAACCTGAATCCTCCGCAGTTCTTCCCAGCATTGTTCGACAAAAAGTCACCCGTCTTGAATAATCTGCAGGATGCAATTTTTGGACGCGTTGAATATGATAAGCGTGGTATCCCTCTGAAAAAAAAACGAAATTGTACTTCCAGGAATCACTGTTTTTATTCCATGAAATGTGGTTTTTGCCCGACATAAGTAATTAAAATTAATTGATCGCTCGTCGCTATTCAAAGGTGCGCTTTAATACGGTGTGAAAGTAAAAGTTTTAAAGACAAAATGAACTTACCTGACTTAAGTATCCTTATAACTGAGGTTCGTGGTACACCAGTCGTTCTCGTAATAGCTCTGGTGCTAGTAAAAGGATATTTTTGCACTTGTTCCACGACTTCATCTCTGACATCTGGATCCACTCTGGGTACTCCTTCGTGGGAACTGCGTCCCGGAATTCGTCCGTCCATAAATGTATTATGTGTATTTATGAACACTCTGTGATCGGGATAAAGTTCCCGTTCTTCTCCTCTCCGTTCTAGTTTCTCTCGGTAAAGCCTTGCCGCTAAATGGCCATTGCCTTGGGCAACGCCGTAAAAATAATGCATTTTTGCATATTCCTTCAAAGAATAACTCATTTTACAACACAAAAATCCAAATCACAAGGTAATCAATCAAAGTCCGAAACACAAGCACAGTCAAATCAGTTATAAGGCGAAACAGAATCCAGTTAGCAAGCAGTCGTGGTAAATTAGGAAGTATCGAAAACAAAATCTGGAGTAGTAGTTACGCGAGTGATAGCTGTGAACAACTGAGGCACTCTATGACTGAGGCTACGCCTGTCGCCTTATGCGCGCGAGCTATGGCCAGAGTGAGAGAGCGCGCTACACACGACACAGTATTTCTCACTCCTGCTTCCTTTGTTCGACACGTGGTATTTTTTGTGATCTGCAACCGTCTACCTGCCTATTACTATTATTATTCATTATCTCATTAACATTGAGGGGTAATTCGTTGTTTTTTGTGACCCATCTGTGCTACTTACTGAAGTGGTACTATCCCTAACCCGAAGATTTACATTTCATTTTATTTTATTTCATTTGATTAGATTCTATGGCGAACCTAATTATTTTTAGAAATAAGGTGTTTTAATAATAATGTTGAAGATTTTCGCCTCTGTGCAATTAGAGGCTGATTACGGCTAAACAAGGCCCATTGACCACCACTTTTTTTTAGATTATAATTAAAGCTTAGGGTCTTGCGAAGTTTTTAAAATTACTTTAAAGTCATGGAACTCATTATTTAATTTTTAGTTTAAATTTCAAAATTAAACTTTGATTCAATCATATCTGCATAATTTGTTTTCGATTAAAATTTTTGCAATTTGTATTAATGGTAGGCAGCTTATTTTTTATGTCAAAGAGTCCAACTCATGAAGACTACGCTAAGAATAAAAAAGTAGAAAAGAGAGCAGAATTTTCAAGAAAAAAAATTTTGAATCGCTAAGTCGACATTTTTCAAAATAATACAAAAAAAATCATATCTCGTAAACTAAGAAAAATCGCGGAACATACGGGTGACAAATCAACATCGAGCTATGCTGCGCTGTACTGCGCTGTGTTATGCTGTGTTTCTTAGGCTACGTTTTTTTAACAATCAACATCAAGCTGTGCTGCGCTTTGCTTAGTTTAGTATAAAAGTAATCAGCAGCTCGTGTAGTAGTTTATCTCGTCAAAAATGACTTTATTTTCAAAAAAACGTAAACATTACGACATAGTTGAATCCGATGAAGATGAAAGTGAAGAAGAAGCGGATATGGATATTTTATGTGTTATTTTGTCGTTAAAAGAGTCCAGTCACGGTAGCTTGTTACCACACACCATACGTGAAAAATACGGAGAATTTAATTTTGGATGTAGAATAATAATTCATAAAAATTTTACATGGTAAGATAGTGAACTTATTTTGACATATCTTTTCAAAACTTTACATGCAGTACTCTAGTATGTACGTAGTGCGTGCGTGACTTGTCAATATAATAAAACAATGGTAAAAAACGTTCATTAACTTTACTAATGTTACATTATATAAAAAACAAGTACTTAGAAAAAAATGAAATTAAAATGGTACCGCTAAGAATTTTTAAATTAATCAATTAGCGAAGTAGCATTGGCCTCCTCTCTTGCATACGGTCCGAACACGGTGTTCCCACCGACTGGAAGGTCATTGGCATCTTGTTCAGCTGTATATCCTCCTACAGATTGATTTGAGGCACTACTTGGAGATGTAAACACATTGTGTAATGTATGACAATTGGTATCTGAGGATTGGACACCTTGAGCTGTTGTATACCCTCGAGTACTAGTTAAGGCACTATTATAACTCTCAGATGCACATATCATTGTAAATGTTTAACTCTTCTTCTTCCGTAATTAAATTAAAAATCTTTCTCTTAAGACGAAGCTGTGCCGGTTTGGGTAATTTTTTTGTACTTTCACAAACACTAAGAAAAAAATGATCCATGTCGTCCATTTTGTCAATTACTTGGTTTCTCAAATCACGTTCTGTTTTTTTTTTCTCTCGGTCTGTTTGCTGGATCTTAACAAAATTTAAAATTTCATGTTGAACACTATGTACACGTTTTCATGTTAAAGTGTGCTTGTATTTTGTGACGTGGTTTCGGAACTTGCAGCAGTTATATTAGAAGATTGGCGGTTTTCATTTTCGTTTTCTACTTCAAAGTTGTCCTCGTCCAATTCCGAAACTTGAGTATGATTACTTTCTTGAGACACCTGTGAATTATCTTGGGAATAATATTCAGTTGTGTTCCTATTTTGCATGTATGGAACAAGGAATTCCATAATTTTCTGGAATTTCCAAAGACGCGTGTTGTTGGCAGCTTGACCACTTTTTCCATCCTTCTGTCTTATTAAGGCTTCCCTATGGATGTCTCGCAATTTTTTCCAAGTATTTTTCGCTACTTTGGCTGTGACAAATAATAAATATATATACATCACTACATAATTATGAAAATTTATTATTAACTTATCACTAAAAATTATGAAATAAGTTTATTAAAAAAATAACAAACCGACTTCAATTCTTCCCCACTAACTAGTCACTAAAAAGTAATGAAATAATTAATTATGTAAGTATGTCAAGAACTAAAATTTTCAATTTAATACATAGTTTTTTAAATAGAATCAAAGTTCTAGTTCTTGACATACTTAGATAATTAATTATTTCATTACTTTTTAGTGAATAGTTAGTAGGAAAGAATTGAAGTTGCTTATTATAATATTATTTATTAATTCGCAGGTACATGGCTACAGGTAGTTCATTTATTACAATTGGTTACAATTTTAAGATAGCGGGCCCTACAGTTTCAAAAATTGTATCCAAAGTTTCCAATGCAATATGGAAGTGTTTACAGCCAATATTTATGAAAGAAATGACTACAGAATTGTGGCTGAAAATGGTTACAATTTTAAGATAGCGGGCCCTACAGTTTCAAAAATTGTATCCAAAGTTTCCAATGCAATATGGAAGTGTTTACAGCCAATATTTATGAAAGAAATGACTATAGAATTGTGGTTGAAAAATGAGCTCTATTTCAGGCAGAAATGCAATTTTCCAAATTGTGTAGGCGCTATTGATGGGAAGCATGTTTATGTCAAATCACCTCCCAACTCAGGATCAGAATATTTTAACTATAAGAAATCGTTTTCGTTAGTACTACTTGCTGTTGTCGATGCAAGATATAAATTCATTGCAATAGACGTTGGATCAAAGGGACGTTTCAGTGATGCAGGAATATTTAGCAACTCTGCATTTGGAAAGAAACTAAAAGATAATTCATTATTTCTACCAGAAACCAAATCTTTAGAAGAAGGTGGTATGGAAATGCCTTTCATATTTGTAGGTGACGAAGCATTTCCACTGCTCCCAAATTTAATGAGACCATACCCACAATCGCAACTAAATAATCAGAAAAGAATATATAACTATCGTCTAAGCAGAGCACGGCGAGTTGTTGAACAAGCGTTTGGAATACTAGCAGCACGATGGCGAGTATTTCATACTGCATTTGGTTGTAATATCCACACAGTTGACAAAGTTATTAAAGCGGCCTGTTTTCTTAATAACTATTTGAGTGAAGATAACGAAATTCAGACTGAAAACAGTATTAACAGTGTGTTGCGTCCTTTGCGACGAGGAGGCAATAGCCCTTCTATTACAGCCTATCAGATAAGAGAAGAATTTTCCAATTATTTTAACGGCAGTGGTAGCGTACCTTGGCAAAATACAAGTGCCCATATAAATGAAAATTTAATAAAGAAAAGTTTAATAAGCACGTAAAAATGTTCTTTTCTTTTGTTTTTAAAAAAATGAGAATGTATCTATTTATTTACAATGTTGTATCTACATACATAGACTCACGACTGTAATCCCATTAGGGGGTAGTCAGAAATCACACTACAACTGTTTATTTTTAATGTATTGAAACAGTTGCAGTATGATTTCAAAGTAAAGTGAAGTGATCGAACCAAAAAAAATTCTGTACTGAACCTCAACCGATCACTTCACTTTACTTTGAAACCTATGCTAAGTCCACTGGTAAAAAGAGAGCTGTAATCGATTATTCTAATATAGGTGTACCAATGAATGATGAACCTCGGAGTGGTTACATTTTAATTAATTTGCAAGTTATAAAACTGAAAATTTAATAAAAAAATTATTTCATGAGTACATATGGAAATCTATTATACAAAAATAAGTTTATTTAATTAATGGGTGCGTTTGGCAGAAAAAAGCGCTAGCAAGCGCTTGTAAGCAAAATGGCGATCGTAAGCGGTAAGCGCTGTCAAATCGTAAGTAGCTATTTTCCTCTAGGACACGATGTATAGTTTTAACCGGGGAACCTAACCTAATTTAAATATATGTTTGTGAAGTATTCATATTAAAAACTTATCAATCATGAATTTTTAATAACATGTATATGTCTATTCATGTCATTATATTACTTAAAACTAATATTGCAAAAAACAACTTATAAACTCTACTTCAAAACAAACAAATTAAATAAGCAAAATGGCGGATAGTGTCAGCGCTACTGAAGTAGCAATCGTGTCCTGGCCGAAAACTATTTTAGCGCTAGTAAGCGCTTGCTAGCGCTTTTTTCTGCCAAACGCACCCTACGATTTTGTTGCAACACTAGTAAATTAATTACAATGTAACCACTCCGAGGTTCATCATTCATTGGTACACCTATATCACTCAAATGCTTCTGTTTACCTCGTTCGTGATCACGACCTTGAGTTGAGTCTCTGGTTAGTAGCTAACATATCCGGGATTATAACTGTGAGTATATACATACAAAATTATACCAATACACCAACGATAAGCACACATAAATACACACGCACACACACACTTATTAAGTAAGTACTTACTGTTTTCCATCTTTGTTGTTTGTATAATGGCGCGCCAGGAGTCTTCTCTTTTTTCTGAATCTTTATAATATGGGGATGTTGGATTCCACAAACATTCGTGTTTCCGAACTTCTTCTATAAAAATCACCATTTTTTAATCAGACCACTGCCCTCGATGAACAAATTTCGACACAACACGTGTTATCTGACCTGTTTGAATGAGCGAATGAAACTCGTTCGTTCTTGTTTGTTTGTGGGCGCATACACTAGTGCGAGCGAGATGGGAGTACGAGAGTGAGAGAGACGTCTGAGGGCGATGGAGGGGCACGTAGCGTGCTCCATGTTTGAAAAACCTAGCACAGCTCGACACAGCGCAGCATGGCAGAGCTCCATAAAAACATAGCACAGTTCGGCACACTCAGCACGGCGAGGAGCGCGCCTCGCTCGAGACTGCTGCGTTTTTAAACAGAGCGTAGCCTCACACAGCGCAGCACAGCATGGTTTGTTTGTATCCTCATTAAAATATTAGACGAGCGTGTTGACCAAACATAGCACAGCGCAGCGTAGCTCGATGTTGATTTGTCACCCTTAATGGGGTATTTTCATGTAGCCCGAAAGGTCAGCATTCCAAAAAAAATTTTTGGACGTCACCTTTTGGACCATCCAGTATAGTCTTATATTGAAGATGCGTGAGTAAAACGAATCTGATCTCGACCGGCAGTAGTAGTAAATCGTGTAGACATTGCAGTAGCAATGAAACCTGATAATACTGAACGCTCTACGTATTGATGCAAATACAAAGTTGAATGTTCAGGACCCCAATTAACATACCCATGAACAGTAGGTACGTTATTTTCGTTTTCAACTTGCATTAAGTTTACAGACGAACTATGTGGTCTATTAGCCATGGATTGCTGTAGAAAAGTTTCAAGTTTGGTATTCAATCTTTCGATGAGTTCTTTGAAACGATTTTCACAACCGTCAATGAAACGACTAACCTCAAATTCATACTCTTGGTTTGCCATTTTTACTTTTCTTTTGTCACTTGAAGTTCTTCTTACAAATCAGATAAAGATTTTTAGAGATCGAGACGTGTGTTTCTCTCCTTCTCCTCTTTGTAAGGAACGACGTTAGGTGTAATCGTCAATGATTCGATTCTTTCACCTATAGACAACGGAGATTGTGGAAGACAAACCAGAGTAGAACCAGATGAGGATGTTCCGGATGGTGATGAAATAAGTTTTCGGAAAGTTGAAGTTTCTTTATCCAGATTGGGTTCTGATGATGTGTCTCTTGTGTCGTGAAGAGGGATCGTTTGGCAATAGTTGGCTTATTGGGGACAGTGCATCTGTCGCAGATAATCGTTACAATGAAGCACATATAAAGACTAGAAATACTATTGAAATGTAAATATTAATATAAATTTATTAACATTTTATTTCAAAAATTTCATGAATATAATGTAAAATACTTTGAACTTTTCAGATGTTTTGGTTTGTGGAAAAGGCGCTTTCCTATACTCTCTCTGAAAATCCGTGTAGCTATGTAGACTACACAGGTCATTATTATTGCCACTTCTGTGTTACACAACATCTGCAGATTAAATAATGTAAGGGATGTGGATCCAGAAGTTAGAATGCCACATGAATCAGATGACATTACCTAGGATTAGTAACCTGTAGGGATAGGTCATCAAAATCACAGCGTCAGACAAGAACTAATTAATAATTATTTTAGTGTGTAAATGTTTAATTATACCAGAATTTTAGTGTGTAAAAATTTTTAACAATATTAGGATGAATTTCAGTGCGTAAATAACGTTCAAAAATATTTGGTATGTAAATAATGTTAAATTATACTAGAGTAAATATGCTTTATTAGTACTATATTAACCCTTAAATGGACGATTTTTTTTTACGTTTTAAAAAAATATATTTGTATAATAGACATGTATTACTGTCTAGGAAAAATGAGTAAAAAAATCTAGACATGAATTTACTATTTTTTTTTGCAATAATGTGAGTGTTGTTTATAAACTACATTGCGCATTCAATGACATTTTGCAAGTATGGGTAAAATAAGAGTGGATATTGTTTTTGAAATGTGTTTATTTATTCTAAATTATGATATTTATAAAAACAATTGCTTTTTTTCGTATCACATAAAGATACACGACATTTTTGGCACATTTTGAACGTAAATCCTGAACATTTCGGGAATTTGCACCTCTGCTGCTTATCCAGCCAAACTGCCCAATGACATGTCTGATCCAATCTGACGTCTTTCAAAGGAATTGCTTGAGCTGGTCCTCGGAACTTCTTCATTACAAGATCTCTTTGTATTGTGCTGCCACTAGGTCGACAACGTTTAGCGCCATTTGCAGGTAGACCCAATTTGCAGAGGGTTTCGGCAAGTTCTAGTCTAAATGTACCCAAATTGAGAAGTTGATCATTTCCTTTTATATTATTTACCTTCTTGAACATAACCCATGAATTTATAACTGCGAGGTCCAGGAAATGATAAAATAAGCGCATGGTCCACTTGCGGCTCTTCATTGTGATGTGATAACGACCTATAAATGAATCTAATAAGTCCACGCCCCCCATGTGAGCATTGTACTCCTTGATGACTTTGGGGCATGGAATAGCAACTCTCTCTTTCTTCGATTTATCAAAGCGCGTGACTGTGGTTGCTGGTTCTGCTCCTACGTAAGTGGAAAGAAGGTTAACGGGCTTGTTATCTTTCCACACAACAGCACTTACGTCAATATCATCCACAGTCGCCACGTTTTCCTCATAGAATCCTCTGGGTACGTTCTTTTTCATTATAGTGTTTTTGTCAGGCAATTTGCAGTTTCTCAATCGGTTTACTCTTACTGTTCCCAGTGAGAAAATTCCTTCCTTAGCTAAATAGGTGACGAGAGGCACAGAAGTATAGAAGTTGTCGAAGTATATAATGTGATTCACATTGCGTGGTACCATTCTAGCTAACCTGACGACTGTATTTCCAGACTCTCCCAAATCTGGCTCACCAGGTAAGATGTTATTTTTGGAGCCCCCTCCACTGTAAACCTCAAATCTATGAGCATATCCTTGTAGACTGCAGATGAGATATAATTTGAACCCCCACTTGTGGGGTTTATTGGGCATGTATTGTTTTATGTAAGGGCTCATTTTGGTTGCACACATCTGCTCGTCTATGGAAAGCCTTTGGTCTAAGGGAACCTTTCCAAACTGGCAGTTGAGCATTTCCTCAAGAGGTCTTATTTTGAATAGCCTGTCATAGTCTGGATGATCTTTGGGTAAGCATAGCGTATTGTCGGCAAAATGGAGAGTGGATCTTATTTTTTTCAAATTTTTTTAACGGCATCGTATTTTTTATGTGATCATAACCAAATTTATCACTCCAGTAAGCCCTGGTGTTTGGAAATTTTATGACTGAGGTGTAAATCAGAATGCCTAGGAATTTATTTAGGATATTTTCATTTATAATTTCAGGATTGGATATTTGTTTCTGGGCCGCGTATAAGTTACTTTGTTCTACAATTTGCTTTTTTTAGATCTGATGTAAAATAAAATGAAAAAAAAATCATACGGCGTGTTACAAGACATCAATGCTTCCGTTATCTGAGTTTCTCCCCTAAAAATAAGGCTGTCTTCAGCAGTAACAAGATTCCGTTTTCGCCAAACCAGAGGTCGCTTAGAAATCCCTTGTGATCTACTCTGGGGTACTGCTTCTCCGGCTTCCAAAATAGGAGGGTCTGGCATATTTTGATCGTTGTCAATTACGAGAGGAGGATCAGCATCCACTTCATCAGACTGGGCATTCTCACCTTCATCACTATTTTCAAGGTACTGAAGAACATCTCGAGCTGTTTGATAATAGTGACCTTCATCCTCTACTTCGGAGTCCGAGCCGTCTAAGCCATCTTCTGAATCTTCAAGAGTTTCTAAATACTTTGTAATTTCGCTTTCTAGTAATCGCGGCATGCTGAAAAGCAAAATAAAAACCCTTCACCAAACATGCATTTATTTAGCAGGCAATGCGCATTGTATTTTTCCTACAACATACCAGATTTCGCGTAATTCGACAGTAGCATCAAGTAATTTTCAATGTTTTACAACATGAACATGTAATTGAAGATATAATCAAGCAAATAAAAATATGTTATATACTTACATTATATTTTATCAAAGTCCGAACACAGCTTCAAAACTTAGTTTCGTGCCACTAGAAAAGTTTTCTTCAAAGTGACATTTGACATTCATTTATTTTTAATGCATAAAAATATTGGATAGTGCCAACATTAAAAAAAGTACAAAATTCGTTCAGAAATAAGAACTAGTTGTCAAAATTAACAAAAAAATAAAATAAAGATAATTTTATCTGTGATGTTTAGTATGTTGTTTAAAAACAACATTGTCCATTTAAGGGTTAATCACAGGTCACTCATTGAATTTTTCTATTTCTAACTGTAGTTTTATTTGTTCAAGTTTAACTACTTCAGTTTTGGTTTAAAAATAAGCCTCCATGGCTAACTCCTTTCTCATCTGAGCCTGTTGTAGTTCTTCAGAGGGCTTTTGGCGTTCTTTTACTGTGAAAATAAAAAAAAACATAGTTAAATTTTCATATTTTACACTCTCTTAGTTTGATAGATTTGATGGCTGATGACCACAGAGATCAGGCACAGGAGACGGCATAAAAGTTTTTAGTAACTACTAATATCCAAATTACATTAGAAATTACATAGAACCAACTGTACTGCATGCATTTCACACATTGGCTTGTTCATCAAACAATTGGGTTATCAGCCTTAAGATTTCCTGATGAACCAGAAAAACCACAAAGTTGTTAAAAACCTGTAAAAAGCATTCGCACCACTATACCATATAGATGGTCTGTTTTGTTTAGCAGCAACTAACAACTGAGGTAAAATATAACTTACAGGGTTTGTAGGGATTATTAAAAATAAATCTTTTTGGTCTGAAAATTTTCTCACTATCACCACCACACTCAGCACTACCACCAACCACCTCCCATCACCAAATCACTATTAATAGTCTCTGAATGATCCGGCAAAGATTGCAAATCAATGAGTTCCACAATCGCATCTGGTGGCATCATTTCTTTTTCCCTGTCACCACCAAACTCCACGGTGAACCCCGTGCATGTTGCACCCAACATAGATGTTACACGGTTCAGTACTTCATCGGGAGAGATGTACATTTTTCCACCACCGGTTTGCAAAAAAAAATGTTTAAATAGAAATAATACATATTAGTGTTCGAAGATGATAATGTATACTCACAAAATGTTACGAAATATTTGATGTATGTACTTATTACAAACCTTACTTTAAAACTTTTTTTTTACTGTAATCGAAATCAAGTCAAGCAGGAAGAGTATTTCGTCCTTTCCAAGGGCCCTTGCCTTCATCTGAAACAAAATTTTATAGATGCCTTACACTTAGCGCGGATTTTAGACAAAGATGCATGCTTTTGTTTGTTACATTTCTATAAATGTAAATAACACGGCAAAGCAAGCACAATACTTACTACACTATTTTGTTGTACTACAGTATTTTATTGAGCCATGTTAATGCTTATCGCTGATAAAATATTGCTACACATAAACAAAAATTTAAAGCTTCTTGATGTTTGATGTGAATGATGTTTGAAAACACAAACTGTCAATGTCTAGTCAGGCAAGTGCCAATGTGAATCCAGCCACAATGAATGTATATCACACGGTTTAGGCAAATATGCACACTGGCCGTTAACCCTCCGTGAGCGCCACCACCTGCCAGACCGCCGCTCTTGCAGACGTGATGTAAGTGTATGGCATCACCACCAATTGCATGATTAGCACGGCTACTAACCGCAGAGCGTGTCATGAGTCTATCGCTCACCTCAAGGGAATGGGGTCCCACGTTGTGCGGCTTTTGGCCGCAGCCTTGAGAGTCTCCTCAATTCCTCCCGCCAGCTACCACCCGCATGAGGTCGACACATATGCTCCACAAACCAATACAGTGACCACATACCAATGACCACATTCCGGTTGTTTATGATAGAAAAACAACGAAAAAACGTAATTATATTGATTACTTTTTATGGTTTAGTTATTGTTTCATGTCTTAAAATGTCGTATGTTGTTGTAATTGTTTAAACATTAATACGTTCGCAATCAAAAAAAATCAAAGCCGGTGCAACCCAGGGATCGAACCTGGCTCCAATATTGTTTTCAATTTACAGTGCCGACTTAGTAAAAAACATTAAGCACTGTAAATTTCATTTATACGCAGATGACTTGCAAGTCTACATGTCATGTAATCCGCGTGATACTCAAGAAGTCGTTAATAAAATCAACGAAGACCTCGAAAGTATAGCCGCGTGGTGCGACTCAAACTGCCTTGTACTAAACGGAACTAAATCTAAACTACTAATTATGGGTTCTAAAAATCAAATAAAAAATTTATCAGAAAGAGGGGTATGCATCCAAATTCGAGGGGAAATCGTAGAACGTGTAAATGAGATTCGCAATCTGGGCTTACTAATGGATGACAAACTACAGTTTGAGAACCTCATACTAAGTACTAGCAGAAACTGCTTTTATAGACTTAAGGTTCTTTATCAAATATGGGAGTTTTTAAATTCGGATATTCGGGTAAAATTGTGTCACACACTTGTCCTTTCGAAATTTAATTATATGGACATTGTATATGGCCCGAGACTTTTAGCGCGGTCGCGACGTCTAGTGCAACGTGTTCAAAATGCATGTGCAAGATTTAGTTTTACAATACCGCCCCGCACGCACGTCACCCCTTACATTAACAATGCCAAAATGTTAAAAATGGAATATCGCCGAAAACTGCACATGGCAACTCTCCTATTCGGGGTATTTAAAAATAAAACACCTCCTTATCTTGCTGACAAACTCATATGGTCACGTGATGTAAAAACTTATAATACGCGCATCAGAGGGAATACTCTCGTCGTGCCTCGTCACCGCACTCACGCTTTCCGAGGAAGTTTCAAATACGCCGCATCCAAGTGCTGGAACGATATACCGCCTCCTTTGCGAAATCTGAAAGCAGTACACACTTTTAAAAATAAATATAGAACACAATTACTGCAAAGTCAGATTGACTTTGATCAAAGTTTATAACGCTTTGCACGATTACGTACCTCATCGTCGTAGATTATTAACAACGGAGCATTAAAATCGTCCTCTTGAATGCGGCTTTTGTCTTCTTATATACTTTTATATTCTTCAATAATTACATAGTGTAGTATATAGCCCTATATAGTATTTTAATAATCTCCCCTTTTGTAGTGTTCGTATAGACCTTCTAAGAGCATCTGAAAGCAACATAAACGGGACGTGCTGTGTCGAAGTGGCATTCGACCTTGAACGCTACTCTCTCCCTCTCACTTAAAATAGTTACTGTCTCTTTCCCCCTTGTTGTGCATAATTCTGTCATCATAATTTTGTTTAAAACATAATAAAATGAGTATACATATAGCACTGATTTCGGTAAGTCACTGGTTGGACACACTGAAAATCAGCGCCATGGAAAAAAAATTCATGGCATTATGCTGAGTGTGCTCCTGTTCCCAGATGACACCTTGACACATACTAGTATAGGTATTGTATAGTTTGTAGTATGTAGTATATTGTAATTTGTATTGTATAGCCAATATTATTTGTAAATTATGTGTTTTTTATGTTATCTGTGATGGCGTCATTTTGGAGAATAAACCTTTCTTTCTTTCTTTCTAGAAGATAGACTTGAAGGGTGTCTTGAAATTCATACTGCAGCCATGGATACGCTTCAATCCATGAATAATTTGGCTGCATTCATAAACAATTTTGCTGCAGCCCTCAAATCCATGGCCAATACAAGTGATAAAGCTTAAAATAAGTTAGATCAATATAGTTCAATAATTTTGATTAGTATAAACTATTTAAGTTTAATTGAAAGAATAAAAGATAATAAATAATTATTTATAAAATTTTATTAATAAAACAATCTTTCTATTAATTGTTGTCGCACTTGAAGACCCCGCTCATATATTTGTATCTCTATAATGATCTGCTGTACTCGCGTCTGGCGCAAAAGCCTCTTCAACTATGTCGGGAAAACTAAGTCCTGCTGTTATGCGCACATTGTGTTAAACTGCACATGCATTTAAAATGCAGCCTACTTTTGTTGTTTCATACTCCATTTTTCTTAGTAAACATCGAAACCTTGACTTAAGAACACCGAAACACCTCTCAATACTGTCTCTTGACCTTATATGGGTGTTGGTGTATCGACTTTGAGGTGTGTTTTCTTCAGCATTAAGGATCGGTGTGAGGAGCCATGGCTCCACGGGATGTCCGGAATCATCTGTAATTCAAATAAGTAACTGAATCATTACAAATACTGTTTTAATTTAGATTACTTGTTTCAGATTTATCCAAGATATTATTTATTGCAATACCTAGAAGCCAGCAAGTACTGCCTTCAACATTAAGGTTCATCATCACCTTTCGTAGGGCACTAGACCTCCATATAAAGGAATCGTATGTTGCACTAAGATATCGTGCACACACATTTAAAATATTTATGTCGTTGATCTTAATATTAAAATTCAAAACCGATGTCCGAAAACGAAAAATAATTTTTGTAAGGTATTTGTACTTAAATATAAATGACACATTTCGGAGGGATCAATAAAACAGAGTGTAGCCATGTGGTGTCAATGTAAACAAACGATGTTGTTTTGCCGAGTACGTCTGGGATAAATTTACTCAAAAATTGGCCAATATTTTTTTCATTATATTGGTTAGCGTCTTGCGACTCCGCTCCGAACTTTACTGAAGTTAGACCTTCTTCGCAGAACTTTACTGAAAGTAAAATTAATACGCAAAATAATATGCAGAAAAAATAAGATAATATCAATTTGAAAAAATGATATACAAACTAAGTAGAACTCACACGTTGTGCATACTTAAGTGGGCTCTTACATTTCGGCGTTACACTAATTTAGGTATTTAATGAAGGCTGTACACTCGTACGAGTGCTCTCGTCAAGTCTACCCGAGAGCTCTCGTCCGAGACGCCTATCCGCGAGCGCTACAATGTGCACTCTCGTCTGTTCGGTTGCGAACACCGAGAAGATGGACGCACTAGAAACTGCATCTGCTCTTACGCTATGTGCTGTTAATGATTTAATGTATGTACACACGTATCATGAAAAAATAATTAAAATAAACCGAAAAACATAAGCTAGTGATGATAAAAATAACATTAAATTATGGTTAATTATATCTAGCGGTATTCAGAATTTATTGCCGGAGGCTTTTATTCGTACATCCTGTCCATGAAGCGTTTCAAAACTAGACACTCTTCGATTTTCGCTAAATACTCCAAGTATTTATCATGTATCATTTAAAAATATTAATCATCCTTTAATTTTATATCAGCAGTACATCTTTGTAGCGATAATCTGATCAACATCAACAGCACTAGCTCTTTTTTGTAGGTAATCATAGTGTTTAATGATTTCTTAAATTTACGCGAACACTACACATTGAATAAAACTAAATTTACGGATTTTATCGCGTTTATTTCACTACTTTTACTTATTTTTAATTCCCAACGTTTCGGGTGCTTTACAGCAACCATGGTCACGGGGGGACTGAGATGTTTGACGTCCCAATGTCATAGTTAGTCCGGCTACCTTAAGTTTTTGAATATTAATTTTTGGTCCGATTTACGCAAAACGAGCTTATAGTATCATGAAGTCTTGCAGTGGTATGTTAGGTTTGGGTTGTACCCCCCACCCCCCAAACCCCACCCAAGAAAAAGCAGACTGCAGACTTCCCGGAGCGTCGGGCTGCGAACAGTCTGCGAACATGTTCAAGATCGTCCCCACCATTACATTCATTTTGATAAACCACAAATTCTCGCAAAAGAACACCGATTCCTACCAAGGATGATACGCGAGGCTATTGAAATTAAAAACATCCAAATTTCAATAGAGAAGATGGATGGGTGCTGCCACCTGCTTGGGATCTTATAATTAACAAAATTAAACCCAAACCTAAGCATACCACTGCAAGACTTCATGATACTATAAGCTCGTTTTGCGTAAATCGGACCAAAAATTAATATTCAAAAACTGAAGGTAGCCGGACTAACTATGACATTGGGACGTCAAACATCTCAGTCCCCCCCGTGACCATGGTTGCTGTAAAGCACCCGAAACGTCGGGAATTAAAAATAAGTAAAAGTAGTGAAATAAACGCGATAAAATCCGTAAATTTAGTTTTATTTAATCATAGTGTTTCTTCACCACACTGATCTTTCACATTTGAATCGCTTCGTAGAGGTTCTTCTAAAATATCACATTCTTGTAACATTACAAGTCATCGACGAGTGATTCATCACCACCAATTTTATCATGCTCGATATGTTTGTTTTTGTCACATACTTGAATGCCTCTAGCTAAACTTCTGGTTTTAAATGCCTTCGTGTCATATTCGTAAATCCACTCTATATCCCGTATCTCTCCATTACCTATTTATTAAGGTCAATTATTTTCTTTTATATCTATTCTTTCCATGCATAATTCTTGCTCCTATCGGCTTCAATACTACTAGTTTAAGCATCATCAAATATTTGGGTGGTCAGTCCAATATTGACGAAACTTAACTACTCAATCATTCGTAATCCTATTTTTGAACATTTCTTTCTTTCATTCTTCACACCTTTTAAATACATCCTTGCTAATTTTTGTACAAAATGGGATAACATTTTTTCAGTCAACGTTTAACTCAGTTATGAAACATTACTATTAAATCTCTCTTAGGCTAAGAACTCACGGAGCGATTTTGAACCGTGCCCGCCGCGGTGGCGGAACTGCGGTTTTATTTCCAAACTCACGAGACCGGTTATTTGCGCGGTTACACAGCCGTCGCGGTTGAGATTATCGCCCGCAAACGTGGCGGGCGATGATCGCAAGACGCAAGACGGGCAGTTAACCGATCAGTTGAAGTCCAGACCGCCATGGACACACATCAGAAACGAGCTGTTGCGTTATACTTACTTGACAGAAGAATTTAAAAAAAAGACCCAAAAGGTTCTGGGTGCATCCACTGATTCAGGATAGAGATCGTTATGGATTATTTGTTACCCTTATTAGTGAATTAAAGAAAGACGAAGAAAAATTCTTCAATTATTTTCGAATGTCCGTCTCTAGTTATTTAGAACTTTTGAAAAAAAATGGAAACTGTTCTTCAAAAACAACATACTAATATGCGAGATCCTATATCACCGGAGGAAATGTTGGCAGTCACATTAAGGTATGTATGCTTATTTTAATAAAACAAGTAATAATACGTATTATATTTATTTATTCAAAATACACATCATCTGACAAATTGGATAAATTACTATTAATTGAAGCGACTGATGGAAGATTTTGTGGACTTTGGGTATTGCTTTCAGGAGTAGATTGGTAAGAAGAGGTACGATAGCCGCAATAGTTATTACTGTTATTTTCTTGACTGTAATTATATGCTGTATACTGATGAGATGAAAATGCTGGAAGATTATTATCAAGATTATCAATAATTTGTAGAACTGCTATTTGAAATTTTCTTGTTTTTGCTTCATCAAAATTTTGCAATGAAGGTAAAATTCCACGAAAAAATGACAAATGTCTATCTTCACGCTGAGACAACAACTCTATTAATGCTTTGTCGGTGTCGTCTTTTTTTTCTTTTTAGTAGTTGTTTGAGAAGAGACTGGTGTAGGTGTAGCAAAAGCATCTGTCGTTGATGCAACGGTAGTAGTACTGGTAGTTTGTTGAGTTGTAGCAATGTTTATTAAGGTTGAGGAGGTATTTTCAATAGGCATATTTTTTTTTTCAAAAACTGCAACTGATCATTATAAATGTATCGTTTGGTTTTTTTAGCTCCCGATCCAGATTTTGTTTCTGTTTCAACTTTTTTGTTGTTCTTCATCCAGCAATCTTTAATATTTTTCCATTTTTTAATTACCACGTTTCCTGAAAAGCATATTTATTTATTTCAGATACCTAGCTAGTGGAACTACATAGAATGTGCATTTGGCATTTTAACAAACAAATGGCGTATATTAAATCGTGCTTTAGATGTATCAATAACTTTATCAATTGATATTGTGAAGGCATGTTGCATACTTCACAATTTTGTACGAAAAAGAGACGGCCATCACTTAGGAGAAGAAGATTTTACTCACAATCTTGAGAGTATACAAATAGCTCAATCAATTCGCAGCGGAAGACAAGCCAATAACATAAGAAATGTTTTTCAACAATATTTTATGAGTGACAGTGGAGCCTTAAGTTGGCAATTGTCAAAAATTTTACGAAATAAATTACTAGTATAAATTATAAAATAAACTTTTAATATAATACTTACCATATACTTTTTTATTTGTCTCGACCAAATTTTCAAAATCTTTATTTAAAATACCACATATTTCTTCCCATGCATTGAGCGTTAAATTCTTGTACTTATATTCTTCTAAGCTCTTATCCCATAGAACTGGCCTTTCTTGCACCAAAGTAATAAGCATATCGACTTCAATATCCATTTTGGCTAAGAACTCACGGAGCGATTTTCACCCGCGTCCGTTTATGTTTGTCGAACGAGCACAGGTCAGATGCCGCAGGTCACTGGTGCAAAATGGCGTTGGATTTCTGTACCCCGCCCCTCCGCCCGCCGCCTCTCCGCCGCTGCGATTGCCCGCCAATCGACCGCAGAACGCGCGGGCGCAACCCGCCGAGGCTGCGGGTGACCGCGGCCCGCGCGATTCTACTAGTTGCCCGCCGGTGCATCGGGACTCCCAAACAAACGCGCAGACTGCGGGCGTAAAACGCGTCGTTAAATGTGCTTTAATTTTTTACATATATATCTGCACTCTACAGAAGCTGCGGGCCCGCAACCGCGGCGGACGCGGGTGAAAATCGCTCTGTGAGTTCTTAGCCTTAGGTCGGCGACGTACATACTTTATAATAGAATAGCATTTTTCGAGTCAGTTTTCCTTTCCGTTTTAACCCTTTATAAGGCAGAGAAAAATAAAGACGACAGCAATGTATATCAAATGGATAGTGAATAGTATTACCATTAGGATGACCCTAACGATAAAAAAATTTATGAAAATTTATGGGAAATTTATGGATAACGCGGTGGCAATATAGTTGCCACCGCCTGTCAATAAAGCGACTTTTTTTGTACTCAGTTTATTAAAAAGAAACAAAAACATAGCAAATAAAAATGTTGATTCATCTGTTATTTCCTGTTTTGATTTCTATCAAACGCATATTATATTTATACTTGCTGGCTGTGAAATAAATCAAAACAGGGAACTACACAAAGTGGCACTTTACTTGTAAAACACTGAATCTTTGATCGCTTATTGCGAGTTTTCGTACTACACATACGACAGCGTCGCCAGAAGTTCAGTTGCTCATGCTGATGAATAACCCACGTTACTCAAACGTATCTCATCAACCACTCCTACTTCTTTTTGTCTGTTTGTGGAGAGCTTTGGCCGTTTTGCGGAGTATTGTGGCTGTCTGTCCAGACTTCTTTTCCTTGCTGAATAATTGCTGATGAGACCACGAGCCAGCACAACCGAAAGTGTAATTGTGAAAGTGGGTTGTGTACTCTTGTGTTGCTAGAATATAGTAAAAAGGAGTTTGTGATGGCTAAATCTACGCAAAAATAGAAAATACGAAGCCACCACCTCTTGCTTCGTCTGCCAACTTCGTAGGTGGTCCGCTTCTGGTCAAAACGGTCTACACCGCCCATGCGCTCTGTGTATTGAAGTACAGTTGATGGACACAGAAAAGCCCGTTTCAAACCATCTTTCTGTGTTCGATCGCAAAAAGTCTTATTTACTTTTGGGTGGAAGGCAGTGGTCAAAAGTGTGACGAGTTTAGTGTCCTGCCACATTACAAACGCCACGTTGTTTTTAGTGCGCCATCGGAATTCGCCTCTTGCTAAGTTTATTTTTTGGCTCCTTGGTATATTCTTCTTTTTGGCATATTTTACAACAAGAGGTGGATCTGCTCTGTTACTATTGACTGTTGCTGTGGCATATATACCATTATTGTATAAATATTGTAGTATGTCATACGATGCGAAAAAAATATCGAAGGTTACGTGTCCACAGTATCCTTCATCTACCAGCTTCTGTGTAAGGGATTTTACAACGTTAGCTCTTAACCCGAATTCTGTAGACTGATCGTCCCTTTGCCCTGTATAAATTTGGAATTCGAAAACATAGCCTGTCTCGCTGTCAGCTCTAATCCACACTGTAGCCTCTTTTCACCGGTTTTAGTGGCATATATTGTTTGAGTGATGAGATACCTTTGAACTGAATCATCGACTCATCTATTGATTGAGATGTTATGGTTTTTGCAGAACGTTGGCAGGTCGTGTTGAGCAGCTCGAGAAGCGGACGAACTTTTTTATAATTTGTCGAACTGAAGCGCTCTTCTCGGAGGCATCTTAGAGTTGTCGTTCAAATGTAGGTTTTCCAAAACTTTCTTGAATCTTTTGCACGTCATTACCGATGCTATCTCAGCAACACGAAAAAATGGGTCACTTGACCAATATAAATCAATTGTTGGTAGCGGATGGAGCCGCATCAAAATTATCATTCCTAGAAAAGCCTTCATTTCAGGGATGTCAACCGTGACCAGCCATGGCTGCGACTCTGTTCTGCGTAAATATTGGTTTGTTCTACAAGGAGATCAATTACATCGGTATCAAAAATTGTGTGAAATAAGTAACAGTTCTGGTCCTACTTGGAATAAAATTTGTGTGCTCAAAATGTATACTATCAAAATAGTCTATGTCGGGAAGCTGTGGATAAAGAACCTTCTTCCATTCCTGTTCTTCAGTGTCAGACTCATCGGTATCAGACATTGTGGCTGCATTAGCTACTGGAGGTGTTGGTGAAGACATCAAGACACTGTCGTGGCGAAGCGGTAGTACTATAGGATAGGAAGACTCAGTATTACTGTCTAAGTGAAGACTGGATGGTAATGGCTGATCTCCAGCTGAACTTGTCGAAGGCTCTTCAGTATTCAGGTTGTTCAATGGAACGGAGTCATAATTCTGACGCTGCGCATCGACGTCAATTTTTTTTAAAAATATATCTTCATATTAAGATTGAGATAATTTGACATAAACACAGAAACAAATTAGTGATAATTGGTTGTAAAATTTGCAATTTATAATATATAATGATTGACAAATTAATGATTATACCAAGTATATCACATTGAACTATAATAATAATCTAACGTTGGTATTTCCTCTGAAGCTGTTACATAATTAATTAGAAAGTTACCATATCAATTAAAAAAAAATATTGAATAATTATATGTATGTTGTTAAAATTTCGATAATTGTTGTTATGGTTACTTGTCCATTAAAATTTACACATTACTATGGTAGAATATGTAGAAATAAATTATACTTAAACACCATATTGTTGCAAACAAATATTATTATTATCATTATTAAGTAGTTATTTACCGATTAATTATTGCGGTATAATACATAATTTTGAATTTTTCTATTAATAGTGCTAATGTTTTTCCTATTTTAATGAATGATTTAAAAAAATTCTTTCCCCAGTTCTGTGTATAACATTATGTAAGTAATAATGTAATTTGACAATAGACATCGACACTATTATACCTATAATTAAACTTACATTCGGTGCTTTCGAGATGTTTTGCACTTGCTACAGAACTTGACTAGTCGCTCGTTGTACCCCTGACTTCTTTCTGCTGCTCTGGCACTCGAAGATGTTCTAAGCTCCCCGATGTGGTTGGGCCTGGATTTCCTCGTACTCTTCTTTTTTCTTGCATATTTATATTTTTGATAAAATTAGTACTCGCCTCTTGAAGGAATTTGTACTAAGCAGTTTTCTGTATCTTGAAATCTTCTTTTTTTCAAACTTGTCAATCTTGATTTTGCTATTAAAACAATTTTACTGGAGCTTCTTGTATAATTTGTTTTTCAGGTCTTTTCTTCATTTTTTCTTTAACATTTTTTTCATGTCAACAAGCATATCATTGTACTTTTATTAAATTGGTCTTTAAAAATCTTCTTTAAATATAAGAAAAATTGTGGTCTCTTTTAATAAGTTTATATATTAGATTATACCCAAACATACGTATAGGTACTAGGTATATACTACAGTAACTCCCACAAGATCTCTCTGAGCTACTGGGTCAATGCAGTAACACACTCTGTGTGTTCCAGTATTCCCGTGAACGGGGTGTGCTTAGTTCTCAGACAATATCGACAGGTCCTCACCTCTGAAGCTGGGTATCCATTACGTTCGCGAACCTCTTACTCCCCGCGCTCCCGTAACCGCTCTGATGGAGACGGGTACGCGTATCTCCATAGGAACGTGCATGCTCCACAGTCCTATTGTGAGCATTCAGCGAACATGTCGTCACCATTAGTGGCTAGTGCAGCATATATTTTATTTCATTATCTACTCGAAGACTATAGAAGCCCTCCTCGCTTTTGGGAATCTGACATTTTCAAGAAAAGACGTCCGAATTCATTGGTGTTGGAACTCAAATCTCAAGAATTAAGTGGCCATTATAAAAACTTCATGCGAATGTCTTCATCTAATTTTGAATATTTGTATAATTTGGTTGTACCAGCTATACAAAAAAAAGACACAAAATTTCGAAAAGCTATATCGGCTCAAGATTAATTAGCATGAACGCTACGATTTTTAGCTACGGGTGTTAGTTTCACAAGCCTACAATACTTATTTAAAATCTCAAAACAGGCAATCATCCAATTTATCCCAGAAGTCTGTCAAGCTACTATCAATGGACTGAAAGACAATGTGAAGGTAAGAAATGTTTTATTAATAATAGGTTCCATACAAATTAAAAAAATAATGTAAGAAGTATAATTAAACGAAATCATCGACATCAAATGAATCCGCGCTGTACTGCGATCCGCTTGAACTGCTTTGATTGATACCAGCTTCAGAGGTACTACCTGTTGGCCGGGAGTGTGCTGATGAATAAATCGGATCCAGTGTAGCTGTTTCTGGCCGTGTTGTATAATAATTTTGGGGCTGACTTGTGTACTCGTAGTAACCATATTGTTCATTGTTACTAAAATATTCTGCGTCAGCCTTAAATACGATATCACATAAACGCTGTTGTACGAAATTCTTCGTGCGATGATCGTAACTTCTCAATTTATTCTCTAAAAATTTACAAAACGTGCCTATCTCGTCCTCTTGATTCGACTTGGTTGATGCTGATTTTAAAATACCAAATGCATCCTTTAGCATGGCAAGTTTTGGATCGTATTTGCGTTTTTTTTGGAGGCTTCGGGGACGCATTTGTCGGAGATGGAGGCCCATCTGTAGTTAGTGCAGTAGACGGTTGGTCGAGAATGGCATCATTATTATTTTTTCTAAAAACAAAACAAAACAGGCTAAAAATGTATGTAAACACTTTATTGTATAGTCAGCGACATATTAAGCTTTACATATTTGTTTTTTTAGTTGCCTAACAACCCTCAAGAGTGGTTAATGATGTCTGATGCATTCGACGAGTTATGGAACTTTCCTCATTGTATCGGCGCACTGGATGGAAAAGATGTAGTTTTATAGGCGCCTGTTAACAGTGGTACCGAATTTTACAACTATAAGGGCCATTTCAGTATTTTGTTATTTATTTTGGCCGATGCTAATTACAAGATTAGGTTTGTCGATGTCGGTTGTCAGGGCCGAATATCGGATGGTAAAGTATACGAGTACAAGTATACTAAACTATACTCTTTGATAGTAAAAGTTGAATTGAATTTGCCCACTCCAACACCTTTGGAAGGACGTAATAAAGTTATACCGTATTATTTACTAGGTGACCCTGCATTTGCATTGTCCGAAAACATGATGAAACCGATTCCCGGCCAAACACATGCGAAAAGTACTCTTGAAAGAGTGTTCAACTATCGTCTAAGCAGAGCACGTCGTGTTGTGGAAAACGGTTTTGGTATAGTGGCACAAGTCTTCATAGTTCTAAGAAAACCACTTATGGTAGAACCAAATAAAGCAGCAGTTTTAGTACTAGCGACCGCTCACTTGCACAACTATTTACGACTCATTCAGATACTTACTGTTCTGGAATAATAGACAGCGAAAGTTCAAGAGAGGATTATGTAACATTACAACCACTAAGAAACTGCACGTCGGTCTCCTGACAATGCAAAAGAAATAAGAAAGAAATTAGGGGATTTTTTTAAAGGAATGAGCTATTTCATTCCAAAATCACTATTAACTGTCTGAAACGCACATTTTCAGTATTATCATTAAATAAAAAGAATATAAATAATAACATACTGTATTCAATGACTGTCAAGGTTTATCGCGATCCATTAAAAATGACAATGCTTCAAACGTGAACCAATTACTTTTATATATTTCTGATGTATCTGAAACGTGGAAAATAAAGTAAACAACTATCCTTAGTGTTTTATTTTATACCACCTATTATTACTCCAGTTACCTACCTTTCCCTGTCCCACTGCTTTTTTTTTTGTTTGGATCTCTACGAAACCCCGAAAGCAGAATTTTTATTTTGTTTTTGCATATTTGCTCCGATATACCCATACCTCTTCCGATTTCCACCCGGGCGTCTTCTTTTAAATTTTTATTTTTGAAATTCTCATCATAGTGGATACCCAGCTTAAGGCATTGACACTCTCTAATAGGGACTTTTCGTCAATACAAATGTTTATGGATGCTCCTTGTATACAGCGTGACGTTGCAAACTTCCTTATGACTTTCTCTATATGTCCAATGTCAGAAAGTTGCCAAAATTTTGAACAACAACTTCGGACTGACTGGCCGTATAGCTAACAGATCCTTTTTAAGCTTTTCCTATTCAGCCTCCGCCTTGTTGTTAAATATTGCCAGCATCTCACGGTTCTTCACTATAGTAAAAATGCCTTCTCGCAATCTTTGTCTAAACATGATTTTCGGCTGTGGTGGGAGATTATGCGGTATGCTCCCAGGGTCTTTAATCAGCTGGATATGGTCCACATGTAATGGTTTGCTTATATCTAGCGAATAATGTACTTCCATCCGGAAGAGGTTGTTCTGGAGAGCATATTTCAGTATGCTAAGGCCTAAGCTCAAAGTGTCCTGCGATGCACGTGCTGCGAACTGAGAAAACAGGACAGTCGGATATCCTCCCACTGACCGATTCATCAAAAATAACATGTGTCATGTAACAGGTGTCGCCTCCATAAGAACTTGGCTGCCTCAAACACTGTCATCATATAGGCGGGTATAGGGGATTCATCGTCTCCAGCTACAGGACCCACTTAAAAATAAGCCCGCAATCACCGCATTTGCGGTGTGTATGGTCTGATTGGTCTCACTAGTCAGGCGGGATGCTTTTTTCAGAGCGCCACTAACTTGTACCCCATCTTAGTAGTAGCGCCTTCCATATTCTAGCAACCGTCTAGATCTCCAGGACTCAGGAACCTTAATGACTACACCTAAAGCAGTACATATATCCTCTAATACCTTCAAAAACTGTTTGGAACAGGAGTTTGGATATTAATGGAAACGTGTGTGTTCCATAAATATTGTGGAACCCGAATAATTGGCCCAAACTTCGAAACAGTGGTTTTACCAGCTCAGCACGAAAGTGGGTGCACCATGATGAAAAATCGATGACTATGTTGACGTAGTCATGGTCCCCGCCCGGGCAACTCATGCGGATCAGCGTTTTGGTTAGTTGCTCCTCTGTCAAGGTCATCAATTGGTGTTTTACGTAGGTGAAAATAGTATCGGCGATGTTGGCCTCTGTTACGACCTGATAGGCCCTCATCTCAGGCGACATTTTGCCGAAGCACCGCGCATCCTTCTCCTTGAATTCTCGATCCTTGGAGACAGCAACCATGACACGCCAGCTGATGGTTGACTTGATGATTTCTTGGCAACCAAACACCTCGGGTGTAAGGAAATGTAGGAATACGCTCTTCGTGATGGGGGCGGACCCACCGGGAACTTGCCATGTATGGTTCTAAATGCCTTCGTGACATATTCGTAAATCCACTCTGAGGCACTTGGTATGATGGCTTTATCCGAAATAATGTCGATTATATCGATGTGATAGTTAAATTCAAAGTTCTATTCTAATTGGATATGCTGGAAATCGATTGGATTCCACTTCAATGAGGTTGTCTCTCCCGACTCGTTTTCCAGAATGCACTCTAAGGCTCCTTTCATTCTGCAGCGTGTCGCCGGTCGCGTGCAGCGCTGCCGGTCGAGTTGAGCATTTCACAGTTTTGCGTGTGCACACGACCGGGCTGGACGTGTACAGTCATGGATACAATTAAAAAAAATATTTTGATCTCTGTGCTATATCATCACAACAAAAAACGCCGTGCTAACCGAACAGGAAAATCGTTCATGCACCCTATAACTTCGGAGCGTTTGTTGAGTGGTGCATTCATATAGCTGTATTCGCAATAGCGAGAAGATGAAAATAAATTTTTAAATTATTTTAGGATGTCAATAAGCACATTTGACGAACTGACTTTTAAAATAGAAAACGAAATAGGACATACTGGTTTACTCCGAATAGCCATTACACTTACGGAATGCTTGGCAGTCACAATAAGGTATCTTTGGCAAACTTTTGTTAATGAATTAGTTATTTATTTTACATCATCATTTAATCACAAAAAAAGATTAAAACAAAAGTCAGTTATAGTGTTGTGAAATCAAAATTAAACGAGTCTTCTGTATCATATGCAGGGATGGGAGATATGATAAGGATATTGAACGACGAGTGAATGCAGGAAATAAAGTAAATGGGGCTCTACACTCTATTGTGGAAAGTCAGAATGTGTCAAAAAAGGCACGTATGGCAATTCACAATGCTGCATTAGTCCCTACTTTAACGTATGGTAGTCAAAGTTGGGTTTGGCAGAAGAAGCACGAGAGTAGAATAAATGCAGTAGAAATGCGGTCGCTAAGGAGTATGTTAGGGCTGAATCTGAGTGACAGGGTGAGAAACTGTGTGATAAAAGAAGAGTGTGGTTTGCAAGATGATGCGGTGACCAGGATTAAGAAAGGAATGCTTCGGTGGTTTGGTCATGTAGAAAGAATGAATGCGGAAAGACTGACAAAGCAAATATATGTCGCAGAAGTGAATGGATGAGTCGGAAAGGGACGTCCTGGCGGAAGTTTGTCGACCAAATTGGCGATAGACTAAAAATGGGCCAAATTAACCTGTACGCTCTGACAGCGCGCGACATGTTATACCGTCCCGTTCGCTCAGGACCTCATAATGGCGGCAAATGAAAAATTTTCCCTAACTTGCAAATTCTGCTATATTTTCACTTTAAGACAATATTTTTGAATAAAACTTACAGGAATTCTTCTTGAATGTATAAACTATCGAATAAAATAATTTTTGGATGTTAGATATAGTAATAAAATTCATAAATTACCCTTTAAAATGCATAGTAGTAGTAAATACTCCACTTTTAGCCACGAAAATATTAATAAAATAATTTCCATTAGTTTGTTTTTCGAGAAATCTATATGAAAATGTTTGGAAATAAATATAGTTTTATGTTTTTATGTGTTTTTATTCGTAACCCATACAAAAAAAAAACAAATAAATAGGAATCAAACATAACCCTTGTTTTCCGAAATTCAATTTTATTATATGAACTTTGAAACACTATTTCTCTAATATTTTTTGTGATTTTGAAATAAATACAACACCAAATTATTTGAAATATGTAATATAATTATTTTTTATTTACATTATACAGTAAAAATAAATGAAAATGGTAAAATAACACATTTCTTACTCAACCACGAAAACGGAAGTTTTTCAACATAAATTCACATATAACACACTCAAATATGTTTCGACACAAATGAAATATGTTTAGAAAAGTACATTTTTATTATTATTTACAATAAACATATACAATTCAATGCACAAAATACAAAACACAAGAAATAAAATATATTTGAACAAATGTATGGAGCAAATAGTGATGTGGCGTCGCTGGTATATTTATCGATAATTTTTTGCAATGTAGCCGGCAATAATCAAATTCGGTTGTTTGACTTTTTGTAATGATTTTATATTGAATTTACAATAAATTTATTCTTTTACAATTTCTGAATGAATTTTTATAGAACCAGCATGGTGGCGATCACCTCATTCACCGGGGTTATTATAATAACCCTTTTTGTACAATTTTTCTTTTCAAATTAAAAATTCTTTCAGTCAACATTCATACCCATTCATATCCTTCTTGAACCCACTACTGAGGACGAGGAGGAGACCGGAGACCCTTATTACTGGAAACGAGGCATTCCATCTTAGTCCTCATAAGTCACGGAAAGATGTAGATGTCAAAGGGCCAGTGCAAACACTTACCATCAGTTGGACTGTGTGCTCAACCACTTACCATCAGGTGGACTGTGTGCTTGTTTGTCACCCTTACCTATAAAAAAAAGACGAAGAGGAGGAGACCGGAGATCCCTTTTTACTGGAAACGAGGCATTCCATCTTAGTCCTCACAGGTCACGGGGGATAGATGTAGATGTCTAAGGGCCGCTGCAACTGCTTACCATCAGGTGGACTATGTGCTCGTTTTCCACCGTAAACTATAAAAAAATGAAAGGAAGGAAGAAAAAGGGAAGGACCACACTCTCACAGAATACAAGCTCGATACTGGTGAGGTAGAGGAGACCAGAAACCCTTTTTACTGGAAACGAGGTCTTCCATCTTAGTCCTCACAGATCACGGGGGGAGTAGATGTAGATGTTTATGGGCCACAGCAATCACCTACCATCAGGTAGACTGTGTGCTCGTTTATCACCCTAAAGAAACCGGAGAGCCTTTGGAACCTTTGGCCCTTTTTACTGGAAACGAGGCATTCCTTACAGGTCAATGGGCCACACCAACCACTTACCATCAGGTAGACTGTTTGCTCCTTTGTAACCCTTCCATTACAATCACCCTCCGCGAATTTCACAAAACTCCGTAAATACCTTACGGAGTTTCATGAAATTCCATAAAGCATTTTTGCAGACAGAGCGCCAGCCCACACTGCATACACTCAAACGACGTGAGTGTTCTGCGGTGCTCCTGTTCCGTGCACCACACACACGCACGTCGTTTGTATTTCTTTGGCGGTCTCCCCTACTCCCTGTCTCGCGGCCCGCATACACGAAGAACGACCAAAGGTATCCTGTGGCCGACTCGCACAGTTGCAAGGTTTTTATACCAAACTGGGCTGCCTTGGACTTTATGTATTGTTGAAACCTAACTGGCCCTTTCCAAAGAGTTAGCGATTCATCAATACATATGTTCCGGTCCAGCTGGTATAAATCCTGGAACTTGGCATTCAAATGGTCGATAATGGGACCCATTGGGTGCAGCGGATTATTAGGGTCTGTCCCCTCGGCCAAATGAAATGCCGCATTGAGGTTCCAGTAGCGGCCTTCCGTGAATAATGCGCGAAATACGTCAGTCCTCAGTAGTGGGTGCTTGCAGAAACATGATTTAATACTTGGCATTCTAATAATGCCAAGCATGGTCCAAAATGCCATTAGCGCCCAGATTTCATGTATATTGGTCTGAAAGCAATCTTTCCTGAAACCTGGACGCTGCTGTGCCAAAACCGACTCGGCATACCGGTTCGTTTCGTCAGCAATATGGGCCATGATGTCATCTGTCCAGATGGCATGCATGGCCTCATATGGATCGTGAAACAAAACGGTAGGCCCAGTCTGTTCTGACACAAAATGGCATTGCCTGCCATTCCACTCGTTCATCCCTCGCCACTCAAAACTATTATCTTCATCCCAATCCCATTCATCCTCCCTCACATTCTCCTCTTCCTGATTTGCAGTTATCCTTCTTCTTTCGTACCTCTCCCTTCTAATGGAATGATCACGGATTTGCCCCTGAATATCCAAGGGCAAATCCGTGTCATTCGGGAAGACTTGCACGAAGGGTGCTCCACGCAACCAACCCACGCTGCGGCCATGCCCACGGCCACGTCCACGACCACGCCCGCGTACAAACGCGGTCCCTCGCCGCTGACGTGCCGCCGCCGTGTCCAACACCTCCACCATGAAGCGGGGTGCGGGGCCTGGAGCACCCTCTGGAGCAGGTAAATCCTGTTGAAAAATGAACACGTTGTTATTGTGCTGCAAACACACACAAATATATATATATATATATATATATATATATATATATATATATATATATATACAGGGTTACAAGAAAAATCGTGCTAGATCCGTTGAGGGCGTGGAGTACCCATCATTTCCGACTTATTTCACTATGAAACACCCTACCCTAAACTTAACCCTTTTCGAGATATTCGACTTTTAATTTTTTTATTGAAAATTGCCGATTAGGTATTTATTTTGTGTATCTTATTATTATTATTATTGCATTTTTACATGTGTAATTAGATGCTTTAGGACGTCAATCATTAAAATAGTGCATAAGTTAATTGAATAGACCGTAGTAGACAAGTGAAAGTAAAGAAATAAAAAATATATTAGAAAGTTTATTTTTCTCGAAGGGATTTCTAAAAAAAATTATTATGGCAATTGTTCGGCAGATGTTTTTTTAAATATCTACGTTTCATCAGCTATCTAACGAGGTATAATACTCTAAGTTTTATTCAAATGCATTGAAAAAACTTTAGTTTCATAGGCGACAGTGAAGAAGAAAATTTATACTTAGCCGAAAAAAGTAAAATAAAACAATAGTGAAATGTCATTTATTAAAGGTTTTCACAAAACTTTTTCTTATTCTACAGTTCATGTTCAACATGGCCGCCTCTATTTCTGATGCATTGTCGCATCCTTCTACGGAGACCAGTCTTCACTACTCCAGTGGTCAAC